GTAGGGGATTCGCGTAGACGTCAGGCCCGGTATTGGGGTAATATTCGGACCAGCAATTAAGCATGTTCTCCTCTCCCAGGATCGAGGAGTGTTTGTTTTGTTGAAAACTGTTGTATTCGTACCCTTTGTCTCTTGGAAAGTATTTCGGATGACACAGGACCGGGCTGTTGAGCAGCTGTCCTATAATGCCTCTTTCGTTCTGATCTCGAGCCATGATCGGGAGAACGGCGGCCATGTTGCCGCCTGCGGAACTGCCGCAGGTAATGATCATAGAGGGATCAATGCCTAAGATGGAAGCGTTCGATTTACACTGTCCCTTGGTCAGTGCTGGTGAGCACTAACGGACCATCATCCTTCAGCCAGCGATCCTCATGATGCAGAAACTTAGGGAGGACGCAAGTGATGCGGATGCATTAGACTTGGTGATCAAGCCGAGTCAACTTATAAGGTTGGCTTGTCAAGGGTTGTAAGCTCGTCGGTCAGTCATGCTATTTGCGAGTCTTCAAGGAGTCTCGGTCCGTTCCAAGAGCGACACTTCCCTAGCCTGGATATTGCATCTCAAACCTCACCTATTGCAAGTGGGCAGGGGCTGTTCTTGAGTAGATAGGAAACTTCCAAACGAGCTCACCCATTTGAGTGAATCGTAGTAATCGTTCACTTGCTGTGGGAAGCGATACTTGGGTGCACTGTGAGAGTAAGTTATGCTCCCGTACTCGACACACCATATGGGCCTGTGTGTAGTGTACGTACAGTCTGTAATTCACACTGACCACCACGGTTCCTGTTTCTTTTGCGGTGTATCGGCAAACGCCCTCCTCGATGGCATGATCGCCCATCATCCACCCGCCCCCGTGTGCGACGAGCATAAGTGGCGCGCTCTCTCCTTTCTTGCCCATGGCCTTCAACTTTTCCGCGTTCTTGTAAATTTTGAGCTCTGCCTCGTACCCGTCCCTGAACGGAATTGTTTGGAATGTCACTTCCAGGTCCATCGGGGTTCCTGCTGGCATGACGAGTGGATTCGATTTCCAGGCTTCCTGGTACCTTTCGGCGGGGAGGTCCCAAAACACACGGAAAAGTGCGTCGCATTCTTGCTGGATAGGTGCCCAGACAGGGTCGACCTGGGAAAGCCATGCGTACTTGAGGGGAGTCGTTGTCTGTGACATGGCAATGCTGTCCTTGATCCTGTCTGGGGCTTTGAATAAATGATGGAGCTATCTGTGTACCAGGAGAAGTGACAGAAGTGACAGTTCGAATCTCCGGTATCCATACCCAGAATCTACAGCTCCACGAGCGGATAGACATATATGAATCATTACGGATTGCCGGATAACGCCCTGTACAGACAGCGATATCCTGGTGTCATTCGAGGTGCGTTGCCGACGGGCCTTGACAGTTCGCGTAGCATGTTCCGCTTCCATGGCCCCTCCGCAGAAGCATGGCACAGGTGAGCCTATGGGAGAGCTCTTGTTGTCGGATATGCTGCAAGAGTAGTACGAGTTGTAACCTCTAGGAGAACATATATTTGACCAATAGGAAAATGTCCACTGGGCGGGACATATCTCAAGACTCATCAGGATATGGGTGGAATCAAAGGGTGAACCTACAACTGTGTGGTATAATGGACCCCAGAGTGTGAAGACGTTTGCGATAGAGATGCGGACATAGAGCGGCCGGATGGTTGACGAGACAGACAAAGCCCGGGCAGTGGAATCCATCTGGACTGGGACACAACATCACCTTTCCGGGTGAAATACTCACTTGTTCTTGGTTGTTTTCGGTCATCTTCTCTCGCGCTATGGCTTGGTCTCATCATCCTGCCCCAACAATATCGTCCATAGTCTAGCCCCTTCGCCTCTTCCGCCGTCATGCCCCCCTCTGAAAGACTGGCCCACGACATTTACCAACACGTTCTCCCTTCCCATCTTCTCTAGAAACCCAGCTTCCTGGCTTCCTCTAGGGAAACAGCGCTTCCACTCATGCCATATCGCGTACGCTTCTTGGGCCCAGGCGCGGAAGGATTCGGCCTCAATGATGGTCGGAGTGAGGATTTCGCGGGAGGGGAAAACGCCCCATGTCACTGCATTGACCGTGTTCATTGGAGAAGTCGTAGTGGCGGATTTCTGGTTGGATAGTTGTGACGTAGAAACTGGGTTAGTGTTTTCTGTCTCGGTATCCTCTGGCGACGTCTTCTTGTTTCGAGCCTGATCCCGAGCTACAAGCTCACTGCTTTCGAATACCCCTTCGTTATCCGTCTTCATCCAACCGACTACGTCACTCCCATACTTCATAAGCCTTGGCCGCAACTTCTCCTCCCACTCCTCTCGACCACAGAAGAACTCCACAAATGCCTTTTGGAAGACGAATCCTTCACCCGGAGGCCCCCAGCCGAAGATAGGGTCGGATGAGGGGGCACCGTCGACGGCGGGCTGGGAGGCGAGAGTCCAGTAATTCTGGCTGCTTATGAGGGACAGGAGCTCAGATCGAATCACGTCCGTCTCAGCACGTAGCGCGCCCGAGTTCTGAGACCCATTGGTTGATGTCCCATTACGAGAGGCGAGATCTGTGTCGATATCATCACTCCATGGTACACCCACCAACTCGCCCAATACGTGCCGCCTGAACAACTCGGTGACATCCTCTCTGCTCCTCGGATATCCCCACAACTTCCTCGCCATAAGCGGAGTCACTTTTAGACTCGGTCCATAGCCATCAATCTCCCCAAACGCAGGTGAGTGAGACGGGCCCCAGCGGCCATTGGGAAAATCATCCCAGGTTGCTTCACGACCTAGAGAGCCTTGCCCTTCAGAGATGAGCAGGTTATGCCGCCGGGTGGGGGAGGCAGCGGGGATGCCAGTGCCGCGGTCTCTTGCAGAATGTTGGGAAGCAAGTTTTAGATTTGGACCCGGCCCCACCCCAGGCGGGTCGGTGTTTGAGTCAGGTCGACGCGATTGTGTTCGAGGGTCGGATCTCCGGTCCGTTATTACACGGTTGTGAGGCTGGGCATTGACAGAACTTCTCCTGCGCCGCAGGAGGCTAGAAGGTTGCTGTCCATCTTCGTTTCTGCTGTTCATAGGTCCAGTTGTAACGACAACCGGAGGATCTTGTTTGCTGTCGTCGACGACCGCATCTGAATCAGACACTGAATCATCATCTTTGCCGTCGACACTCCCTTCGCTTGAGATTGACGGAATCAGCCCAGTCCGCTCTAGGATAAAGGATACACTCTTCTCCAGATTCAAGGTGTAGAAATGGAACCCTCGAGGAAGGCCTTCCGGCTGCGGTAACGTCTTCATCTCTTCAACCAACTCCGAGAGGATGTCAACTCCGACTTTCTTGACCGCTTCGTCGTCCGATTTCACACGTTCAATCCGTTCGGAGATTTTCTTGGGCAGTTTCGCGTGGCTAAGTTTGGTGATTCGTTTGATGATTTGGTAGGACTGGATGGGCATCAGGCCGGGGATGACAGGGATCTTTTCAAACAACCTCTTGCCATCTGGGTCGGTGTACTCTCGCAACCTCTTCTCATATGTGGCGTAAGCCTCGATGTCGTAGGTGAGCTGCGTCATGATAAAATCTGCGCCGGCCGCGACTTTCTCGGCAAGATAAGGAAGATCATGTTCGACACTCTGTTTCCCTTGCTCCGGGTGCGATTCATCTGCATGGCCCTCAGGGTAGCCCGCGACACCCACAGCAAAGTAGTCGCCGTGTTTTCGCCGGATGTATCGTACCAGATCCACAGCCCAAGTAAATTCTTTGTTACTCTCCGTGCCCGAACCACCGTTTCCACCGTCACTCTCATCCGCAGACGTGGCATCCTTGTACTCTTCCCTGGGCGGATCCCCTCTTAGCGCCAAAATGTTCCGAATCCCGATCTCCTTCGCCCCCTCGAGCGCCTCATCAATCATATGCCTCTTCATGTTCGTACAGGTCAAATGCAGCACCGTCGTGAGCCCAATTTGTCGTTGACATACTTCGGCCAGTTCTAGGGATTTTGTCGCTGTAGAACCGCCTGCGCCCCATGTTACGGTGACAAATAAAGGGCGTAAGGCCGCGGCCATGCGAGAAAGACGCGCTTGCAGGTTGGAGAAACCGGATGATGTTTTGGGAGGGAAGAATTCGAGAGAGAAGTAATACGACGAGGGCGGAAGGGAGGCCAGGAGCGTGGGGAGACGGTCGTCATGTTCAGAGGCCATGGTTTGTGAGTCTTATGCTCCTGGTCACGTTGTCTCTCATTCGCAGACGGTGGTCTGTTAAATGCAGGGTATTTCGATCACGTCTTGTGTATGTGTGTATAGCAACCCTTGACTTATGGGAGATGCCTGGTGTATTGTCGAGGAGAATCCCGGCCAGACCATCTGTCGTTGATTTCACATTCACGTCCCTCGGGAGTAAAGCAGATGAGGTCCCTCTTTTGGCGGTGCCGTGAGCATTGTCACAACTTATTTGTCGCGGGTGAAGTCGTGGAAGAGGGCAGGGAAATGGGAAAAGTTGCCCCGCAACAACATTTTGCCAGAGGGGAGAGTCGCCCAGGACTCAAGAGGGGCCACCAAATGATGCCAATCGCTTAACTACCAGAGCTGCGGGCCCTCAGCGCACTTTCATTTACAAGGGATGGACTATCGCTTACAGAATGACGAGTGTACACACATAGGACTCTTCATTCAAGCATCAAACATGGATACACGCACAGGGAGACATGTAGCCATTGTCCCAGTCCAAGGTCTTGTACACACGTCCAGAACGATGCTGCTACTATCCCACCATATTCTAGCCCATGAAGCTGCCGCCCCTCCATTCATTCCGTCAACACCATTTCTGAGTCGTGATGATTAGTCCGTACAGTTATGTAAATGCCACCCCGGCCGCCAGAAGATCAAGGTTCCGTCTCGGTTCCATACAGCTTAATTTTGCTGAGTTGCCAAACATACCAAGTCAATGCGCCGATGATGGTTGTCGATATTTTCCTTTCTCGCGTAAACGCCAGGTATCCATATCCATCTCTAGCTCTGTTCGTCTCCATTGATAAAGTCGTCAAAGTGTTTGGAGACGTTATCTCCATCCTCCGAGTCCCCATGATCGCCCACCGAATCATTGCTCGCTGTTCGAATCATGTCAAGTGCCTCGCTCGCGTGGCCGGCCTCTTGCTCCAGGCTCGGCACAGGCTCATTACTCGTGTCCGCATCAGGATTTGTCATGTCCATGAACATGTTATCGTATTCACCTCTTCCCGATGATGAGCCGCCCCTGGCAGAGTTTGGTGCACTCGCAGATGCATTGGAAAGTCCGCTAGCGATATCGTCTTCGCCATCGAGACCCAATCCAGCGTCCGATCGGAACATAGGGAATGACGGGTCGTGGTTTCGTCCTTCCGAGTTATCTCCACCAAATGTGGGCATCATCGGATCCCTCAGCTCTTCATGCGGTGGCTCCCTAGTGGGGCTGAACAATGACGGTGAGTTGGGTGAAAAAGGAGAAGGGCGACGTTCTGCAAAGGACGATCCGGATATGAATCCAGCTTCAAACGTCCTACTGGGTGGTGCATTGTCGTTGGATTCTTGCCTCTGCATGGCAGAAGAACCTTCAGCGGTCGTACCATTCTGACTGGGACTGGCGGCCGAGCCTGGTGCTGACGGTGATTGCGTTGACGGCTTCGGAAGCAGAGGCCCGGTAACAAACGATTCCTGCGTCTTTCTTCGCACGTAGGTCTTTGTGCGTAAGTGCGGTGGAAGGTCCTCGGGCTTCTCGACTCCCAGCTCCTTCATCAACTTCTGCTGCTTTGTTGGCCGAGGTTTGCGGGTCGACAGACTCTGATCCAGAATAGGCGGTGGCTCGGGAGCAATAGGCTGCCATTTGTGCAGCTCTTGCCGTAACACGTTTGTTTCGTAGGCCAGAAGAACTTCTGCGCCCTCGATCTTGCGGAGGTAGAACAGCATTTCTGGCATCTCGTCAATCGTCCGACAAAGCTGGCCGCTGGTGGTGTATCGCATCAGGAACTCGCGGAATGCCTGCGCCTTATCGATTATTCGCTTGAGCAAGTCTTCCTCCTCCGGTTGAAAGGGTAGATCCTGGATTTCATCCTGCCAGGCCTGTAGATCCTCGAGTTTCGGCCGGGCTGCATCTCGAGGGATCTTAACTCGCCAATCGCAAATAGGACAAGTGAACATCTCGCATTCCTTGACTTTTCCTCTTGCAAGCTTGAGGCATTTTGCATGATACCTGAAGACCTGTTAGTCGACTCCGGCTTGAAATACAGATAGTTCAGCTCACCAATCGTGACAAATTTCGCACTCAATCATAAGCCCCGCCTCTGGTTGGCGACAAATACAGAAAACAGGCTTCTCCTCATCACCAAGCGCGCCCTTCTCCTGACCCTCAATGGGAGTAGCTTCTCGCGACGCCGGTTCGACTGGGGGCCTGAACGTGTCATTCAGGTCGAAGCAGTAATTGTTCTTCTCCTCCACAAACTTCATGTGTTGTTCGAGGATGTGAAGTGGGGCGTTGGCCTTGCCAAACAATTTCTTGCCTCTCCTCATCCAATCTTCGTGTCGTCTCAATTCTTTCTCCAAGTCGGAAGCGCCGTGAGGTTTGCCGTTCAGATCTTCAAAGCTCTTGACAACATCCCTGACATGCACATACATCGGGCGCTTTCGGAAATCTGGGTCATGGCTCCGTTCGACCAACGTTATGATCTGCCGTTTCGCCTCACGATTCTTAGCTAGAATGACGTCCATCTGCTCCAAGGTCTCCTTGTTGACGGGGAAGACTTGATTCTGCACTTGCGAGTGTAGCGATTCCAACTGTGGATAGTGGACATCCTCGGCCGCCATGACTTCTTTTGCTTTGATCTCCCAGAACTCACCCTGTCTCACCACTTCAGTCAGAAACAAAATTTCAGGCACTTGTGGTGTGATTTCTAGTTCCGTAGCACGCTTGAGAAGTTCTTTGCAATCATCAAGTGTCTTTGACTGCACATCTTTCTGAACCTTTTGAACATCTTGTAGCCAGTTCGTCCGCGCGTAGACTTGCTCCAAACTTGTCAGTTCAGGCATAGCAGCCACAAACCCGCGGCCTTCCTCGAGCAAAGTGTCCAGCTCGTCGGGCATCGCTTGATGCTGGCCCGTCAAGATGCGATTCACGCTGGCCCGCCACTCGTCGACACGGGTGACTTTTTCTCTCAGACTTTCGAGCTGAGGCGCAGTGAACCCGAGCAGCTCTCCGTCTTCAATCAATTCCTTCATACGTTCCACGGTGAGTTGTGGCTCAGTGTCCTTGTCCTCTGCTCTGCCAGACCGGAGAGAAGAACGTCGCCAAGACTTATCATTCTTTCGTCTGTTCTGCTGCTTTCGGGTGAGGTAGAGGTTTGCCTCATCCACCCATTGGTCGCATTTCTTGACGAAATCGGCCAGATCATCCAATCCCTTTAGCGGACATGGTATCTTCTCGCCTTCTGTCAGGAGCGTATGCATTGACCTGAGGGCAGGTCGAGCTTCGTCCGCTAACAGAGCCTCTACCTTTGCCTCCCATGCTTCAGGGACGTTTGCTCTGTCCACCACTTTCTGAACAATATTGCTCAGCTCCTGGTTGGTGTAACGCACCGAAAGGCTATGGTTGGGTCCCCTCAGCCTTTCACTGGGAGAGGCAGGGCAGCAATCAGCCACCTCAGGGTGCAAAAGACATGTGACCTTGCCGCTGCGGTGGCACCGGAATTGAGAAAGGTAAGAAAACGCTTTACAATAGCAGCACTGATATTCATCCTCTTCAAGCTCGACATTCTCGACCTTGATAATCAGGCCGCAAGACTCTGTGGGCTCAGGAGTCAACGTATCAAACGTGCAGTCATCGTGCGGAAAGTGTCGCTGGTGCAGAGCCACGAAGCCTTGACGTTCGGCCAATTCTCGGGCTCGGGTCCGCTCGAGCGCCGGTCCCAACCACTTGGCTGTTTTGATTGTGCCATCTGACGCCGCCGCAGTGAAGAGAAGCTCATCATGTGAGAAGCATGGTTGGCGCCGGAATTCCTGCAGTCGCTGCACGCCTGCCTCGCCGAATGGTTCCCAGTCAGCAGGCGCAAAATTGACGGCTTCGTTGAAGTTGAACCCATGATTGAATCCCGCATGGTACGCTTGGGGAAACGTGATGACGAATTGGCCCGCGCGTTGGTCGAGCGCGTAAACCTCGACTCCAGCTTTTCGCAGCTGATGTGGCGGAAGAATGGTGACCAATTGAAAGAGTAAATCGGGTTGCGTCTCGAACAATTCGGGGACTGCTTTTCGCATTGCGTCTTCAAACCGATACGCGTCTTTGCCAGGAATGCCATACCACGTCTTTGTGGCACCAAAATGTTGATAATTTGCTGAATATGCGTAGTGATCCTCATTGTGCCAGCAGAATGTCGAGAAACACATGCCCACGTATAGCCATGGCACCGTCATCCCAGAAATATCACCCTTGATGTGCCTGAATAGCGACTCTTCGAGGAATGGCATGACATTCAAGTTCCAGGGGTCCTTCGAATATGGATCGAGGGGGTTCTTCTCCACTGTCGGGAAGCCGCTGCCGTGAGTCGTCGAGTGAATGTCTGCACCGTATTCAACTTCGACCGACTCAGTGATGTCTTCAACCAGTCTCCAAAACTCACGTTCGACATCATCCTCGGTCGGTTTTCTTTGTGTATTGGAGATGGGGTCGAAAGGCATCCGGGCCGAAAAGTAGTGATCTTTGAAGTTGTTGGCCTTCTCTTGAAATTGTTTCAAAGAATAGATGCTGCCTTCCTCGAAACCGTAGTCATTCGTCCCCACCAAGCATTTCGAACAGTGCCAGTCATATTCAGGCACATGGTTCAAAGGTGGCTCCACACAATGCTTGTGATACCCAGTGTCGCAGCTGTCGCATACAAGAATGCTCTCCTTGTTGTCTGACTTTCCGCATTTCTCGCATTTCTCGCCATGCCTCCGGGGGACCGTTTTGGTACGCACTTGAGGGGTTGTCGGACGCATTGCAGGTATGTGATTGCCCGGAATCGTGGGCATAACGTCCTTTTTAGGCCTCTTGCTTCTCCTGCCATTTGCGCCATCTCCTTCACCATCTAATCCCTCGGAGCCAGACTCGCCATTGAGACTGTCAAGGCTCATTGTCCGCTTCAGTGGGTTCGATGTCCCATTCGACATTTGTATTGTCGTTATTGTGGGTCCATTGATTGAAGGGAACGAGGGAGCCGGAGTTTTGGTCGATGCTGCCACACCGTTGACTTCTTTCTTCACCACGGGAGGTGGGGCGGAATTCACAGCCGTAAACCCTGAAGGGCTGTTTACCGCGGTGAAGCCACTGTTAACAGCAGTGAAACTTGACGATGACACCGCTCTCGGTTGAGTGGCAGGTGGTATTGATGGTGCCGATGGCTGCTGTTGTGATGGGCCAGGAGAATTTGGTATTTGGGGAGTTAGGGACCTTTGGGCGGGTTTGGGAGAATCCGTTGTAGTGGCAGGCGCAGCAGACTGAGATGGAGGTGGGTGATTGATCCCAGGTTGATGGGGTGTGACTGATAGTGAGTACGCTCCGCCATGTTCGTGATCGAGCTGTTGTTGGACGCCGGGTTTGGCGTACTTCAGCCATTCCTCGTACGGATGTAGCCATCGTTGATAGGAATTCTTGAGGGATGTTGATAGTGACGACATGATCTTTCCACTGTATCCCAAGTCTCTGCCAATCTCAGCCCACTTCTTGTCCTTGCAGACTCTTTCAAAACCGCCACGGACTTCGACGGCCTTTTTGAGTTTATAAAGGTCAAGTGGACGCTTATCGACAGAGGGAAACCGATTGAGGTGTGCGCCATATTGTTTGTGAAACTTGGCCAGCTGGTCTAGATAGTTGAGATTCGTACGATTTCCTGCGAGGCAAGTAAGAATAGAAACATCAGACGGACCATAAGAAATCTCACCTCCTTCAACCAGATTGATCTCCTGGCGCCGAGTGCGAAAATGAAAGCGCTATACCACGTTATAAATGCATTCCTGGTTAATATTCACTGATTGCTCACCTCTGTGTCGATGGCGAAGTCTGGGTTCCAGTTTTCTGGCGGGATAATCTTGCAGATACCGTACTTGCTAGCCTTCTCCGATATACTTCGAATGTACTCCATCGGATCACGAAATTCTGCCTCTGTAGGTCGGAAAGTGGGCGCTTCGGGTAGGTCATGAAGTCTCCTTCTCGCAGGAGGATCGCGACTGGAGGCATGGCCTTTGCGCTCGACGGTTCGCAAATCAAGAGGTGGAGCATAGCGGGCGCTGTAGGGAAACGAGGGCGTGGTCATGGCAGCAGGAGGAGCGCCGTTCATTCTCGAAGCTGATGACGATGGCTTTATAGTGGGAGCCTGTGGTGCGACACCACCAGTCGAGGGTGGAGCGACCATGACTACGACAGGTGGGAAAGCCCGACCAAGCTGCGGGATATGCTTATTCGGATAATCGTAATTGTGCAGGGATGATGCGCAGGATTGTCGAGTCTGATCGATTTAATGCGAATGGGAGCGTGGAGAAAGCTTTTGGTATGAATAGATCTTGATATCGGTACCGGGAAAGCGAGAAAGCGAGAAAACGAGCGGCAGGCGGGTTGACAGGTGAGTTTGCCTGCGGGCAGCCTCGTAGAGGGACAGGGAATGGATCGAAGCGTTAGCCTTGGACTTTGAGCTTATGGGAAGGCATGCTAAGTGCTAAGAGAGCACTTTGAGTTGTAGTGGTTCACATGCGGAGTGAGAGAGGCTCTAGGTGTAAGAGTACGGGGGGGTTGTGGTGTGAGAGGAGGATATAGTAAGTGAGTTAGTCGAGAGACAAGTACCAAGTGGATAGATGGGGATCGTCGGGCAAAGCGCGAGAGAGACGCAGAGAGAGCAAAGAGAAGCCAGGAAGTGGCTCCAGATGCTCTCCAGGGCAAGACACTCGATTGGCTGCCACCTCGGAGGCTTGTCAGGCCTGCCAAACTTGCCAAGACTCTCGGCATGTTGCTCGGTTGCCTCCCTCTCTGGCACGACATGAGGCGACCTCTTCCCGCTTGTGTAAACAAGGCGCCCATCCGCCGCTTGGTTAAATAACAAGATAGACACTCATCATTGATCAATGCATGATTTCCATGTACCGAAAACAGCATCGCTACAAGCGACAGACATCGACGTCCTGCATCGCTGGCCCATCAATTGACCGCGGGCTGCCTTCATGAACCATTAGACACTGTCCTATCTCGTCCGTGCCCCAAGCGTCACGCGTAGACTAACGCCACGTCGGGGTGGTCTTCAAATGGTCCAAGAGTGAACATGGACATCAAACCCATTCCCGCCTTCTACTGCTGTTACCTCCTCCGCTCCACTGTGCGACACTCGAGCCTCTACATTGGATCCTCACCAGATCCAGCCCGTCGCCTCGCTCAGCACAACGGTCGAGTCAAAGGTGGCGCCATACGCACTTCTCGAGCGAGCCTTCGTCCCTGGGAAATGGCATGTATCGTCGCCGGGTTTCCCTCAAACGTTGCGGCTTTGCAATTTGAATGGGCATGGCAGAATTCCCACTTAACCCGCCACATTTCCCCTGAGCAGCGCATCTCCTTTGCCACCATTCGGACCAAAACCTCCAGGACGGGAAAAACCACCAACAGGCCAGGGCGGCCCCGGGCCTCTTTGATCGACAGATTATCAAATCTCCACCTACTGCTGCGGGCGCCCTATTTCTCTAAGTGGCCACTCGAAGTCCGCTTCTTCAGTGAAGATGCGTATCGTTCCTGGTCAACGTGGTGTGGACGGGTCGACACTCAAATCCGACCGGAGATTCAAGTGCATTTTGATCCACCAGGACCAGGAACCCAACAGCTGGAAGAGGAGGAGTTCACTTCTGCTCAGCCTCAGCCAATCCAGAGGAGGAAGAAAAAAGCCGATTCGATCGGCAGAGGCGGCGTCGACGGCGTCGATCCCACATACACCCGACTTCAAGGAGTCTTTGAAAAGAGCCAATTTCTCCTCGATGAAGGCGATAATCAGCAATGTTCGGTATGCGCAGAGATCATCGATCTCCGTAAGAGCCTCTTCGTCATTTGTCATACGCACAACTGTCAGGCCATATCCCATATTAGATGTCTAGCCGATGTGTCTCGAAATAAAACCCAGTCGGCTTCATCAATCGTCCCAGGATCTGCAACCTGTCCAAAATGTCGACAGGAACATGCTTGGTTGGCATTAATGCAGCAAGTCTCCCTGCGGAACAGGGGGTCGAAGGAGGTGAAAAAGCTCCTGGGTAAGAAGAGTAAGGGTACGGCAACCGGAGCGGCAGAGATATTGGAGACAGAGAGCGAAGAAGAGGATAGTCCGTCGGAAAGGGAAGAAGAAACGCTGACCCCGAGACATGTGGTTGATGATGAGACTGAGATGAGCTTTAACGATGACGATGAAGACACGCTGTCCGTTGCATCTGCAGATTCGATCGCAAGTATGGCGTCCAATACGTCGAGTAGGCCGGTGGTTAACCCTGATGCTAGCATCGAAGAACCTGATAGACTCCAAATAGTCATAGAAGACAGTGAAGATGAAGGATGACCATCTCAACCCTTGATTGCAGTATCGCCCTGTTCTCTCAAGACCTTAGGTCGAGCAATGGGCCCAATTTCTGCAAATCACTAGACGTAAGAGTTTCATCCTCTGTCGTCCCTTGAACAATCGACAGGACATCGGCAGCGACCTCCTCCATCGTCCTGCCGGCGTCAACCTGATGAACGGCGACTCCATCAAGTCTTGCGAACAGTCCCTTAAATAAGGTCCGGACGCGAGATTGCATTTCTTCCTTCTCGTACCTCTCGGCACCATAGCCACCACGTTTGGCAGCGTCAGATGAAGAAATGTCCAAAAAGAACAACAAATCTGGCTTCAAGAGGCCGATCTCGGGTGACCATGCCCATTCAAGAGATAAATCCGGATTTTGCTTTGCGGCAGAGTAGACGGCTCCAGAGAAAGAATATCGGTCAACAATCACGTCGATGCCAGACAGAAGGTCCAAGGAAATAGATTTAATTGCTTCCCACCTGTTGGCACTGAAGATCAAGTGGATCGAGTGGTCATCTTGTTGGGCTTGGCCCGTCAGGTAGCTGTTGATCATCTGGCCTGTAGGCGTGGATCGATCTACACAGAGACAGATCAGCTAACGGGGCTCTTCAATGACAGATCTTCACGTTGGACAAACCAGGGAACTTGACATAGCGGACCTTTCGGCCTTGCGATTGGAATCGATCGAAAAGACGTTGGCATTGGCTGGACTTTCCGGAGCGATCAAGACCTTCGATGACGATGAGGATGCCTCGTTTCGAGACAGTAGTAGCAGACCCCATCTAGGAGGCTCCAAATTATGCATTCGAAGCAGTCTGTAAGACAGAAATATCAAAGGTTGAATTAGGGCACGTCAAGAGCTCAAATGAGAGCTTCGTTCAGCGCTATCAGCAGTTCGCAGCGGTGCAAATGCTCCGCACTATCCATTTATACGGCCGAGTTTACAGCCCAGCCACGCAAGTGCGATACATTCGCCTCGACAAAATCCAAGCAGTGGTGGCAGACTTTCTCCAACAACCTGCCACAAACAATGCCATCATGGAGCCTGTGACCGGCGCCTCGCTTGCCCAGCTACCGGATGAGATGTTCGAGTTCATTCTTCAACAGGTGTCAATGCCAGGGTGCGCTGGCAGGCTCGGGCAGTTGATCCTGCGCGGGCGACCAGCTATCTCGACACCAAACTATGTCGTCCCAACTTCTCGCGGCGTGATTCCTCATCTGTCACAAGATAATTTGCAGAAGCACACGAATATTTCCACCGTCTACGTGCCTCTCGAAGACTGTAAGTTCCCACCTTTCAGCATCAAGTTGGATTGCTGACTTGTCTGGCTTACAGTTGGTGGTTAACAGTCATTGAGAAGTCGCATGCCAAAGCGCCCCTCTACAATACTCCAGCCCCAAATGGTGAATCTCCTCTACGGCGGTATATCGGCCTGCCCGACAGACATCTCTCAATTTTTGGCCTGCGAAGAGTCCCAAATATACCTTGTCCGGCGCACAACACGGATTCGTCCGTAGCGATTTCGACTTCAGTTGGATTCAGGTCCCTAGAAGTTGAGCAATATCATGAGGCGGTCAGAACTTTGAAGGCCGACATTTCAACAAGCCTACCCGATCTGATCAACACGAAAGTTGCCAGTGTGAAGAGGATCGAAAAGAGCGCAGACAGGACACATGCATGGTTGCGGGATTTCGTGGAGGACAAAGGGGAAGACACGGGCCTTCCGTTCTTCGCATCAATACCACCGCATGAAACGGAACTCCTGTCGCTATATCTTTCAGATCTGAAGGACGAATACAACTCTCATATATCCGGGCTGTGTGTGTACTCGCCCTCGACAGTCACTGGGTTGCCGGGAGCACTCAGAGACATACCGACCGTATGCCTCACGGATCCGTCGTCACCACAGGCAGTTCTCGCAGCCATACATGCGGGAGTCGATCTCTTGACTGTGCCTTTCGTGACACAGTCCTCTGAGCATGGAATCGCCTTCTCGTTCACCTTTCCTGGATGTACAAAGACTCCCAATCAACCTCTCGGATTTGATCTTTGGTCCACAACCCACGCCACTGACCTCTCCACTTTGAGCCCCAATTGCACCTGCTACACGTGCACACGCCATCACCGCGCCTACGTGCACCATCTCCTCCAAGCGAACGAAATGCTTGCCTGGACACTCCTTCAAATCCACAATTTCTCCGTCATTGATGCCTTTTTCTCTGCCGTGCGCCAAAGCATCAAGGGTAGAACATTCGAAGATGACATGGGGACATTCGGTCGTGCGTATGAATCCGAGTTGCCAGCATTGACTGGCCAAGGACCAAGAGTGAGAGGGTACCAGATGAAGAGCATCGGAAGAGGCGAGCCAAAGAAGAATGCCAAGGCGTACGGGAAGTTGGGTGATCAGGTGCAGAAACTCGCGGAGGCAGAGAGCGGTATCGCTTCGCCACAAGGCGATGCAGATGATATTGAAGGACATGGGCTAGCCTAGAAGATTGAATGAATAGCCTTCTCCTGCTATCGCGCGCTCGCGAGAGAGAGAATCCCAGCAACCATGATCCCGCAGGCAGAAGAAATTGGACCGATCCCATAGATTGGATTGGCGTGAATCCACGTCCTAAATATGTCTCACAGCCTCTCTCAACAGCGGCCCGACTTGTTTGCGACTCTTGCTCGTGTCGCCCATCCACCAGATCTTCCACTCACCCTTCCCACCGAACGTCCTGCTTAGTCCGTCCACAAGGCCAAGGCCCTTGACGTTACTATTGTCCTCGGCAGCCCACTCGGCCAATTGCAGCTCGTCGCGGGAATTCCGCTCGAATGCGTCGAGAGCGCCCTTTGCGGCCTCGTCCCGGACCAGCACCGCGACCTCTTTCCTGCCGTCCGGCGTGCGCGTGAGCATGCAGAACACGCCCAGCTGCCTGTCTGGGGCGGAGGCGAACTTTTCGATCTCAGAAAGGAATGCAGTGATGGCGTCGCGTGCACTTCCACCTCCATCTCCACGGGCGTCGCCGGCGCCGTTGTTGCCGCGGGCGGTGGCTGCGTGGGAGATGAGCCAGGAAAGAGGCTTCACAAGGCTGGAAATGCCGATGTTGATTTCCTTGCCGGACGATGTCGAGGAGCAGGACCGGGAGCTGGCGCTGGAGCTGGAGCTGGTAGTGCGCTCGGTCCAGGCCTTGTAATCGCGATCGAACACCTCCTGCATGGTCAGGAGGTCCAGCGAGTTGGCCTTTGCAGTGGAGATGCAAGAGAAGAAGGCGTCGCGGTCCCAGTCCGCCGCCGGCTCGGAGTGTTGTGGCAGCGACGATGACCGCGGTGATTTTGCATCCGACTGGGCCGCCGTGGTTGAGATCACTGATTCGAGAAAGCGCACGACTTCCCCGTCCGTGTCGGAGCATTTGTCACCCTTGGCCCTCAGGTTCCAGGTATCGATGAGGATGGGAGCGAGTGCAAGTTTGGATATCTCCTGCAACGCTTCTTGATCGACTTGCGGGCTTGAAATCTGTCCCCCTGAGTTTTGGGATTCAGAAGAAGGCCACATGCCCTGCTCTCGAAGATGCTTAACCACAAGACTGGTGCAACTCCCTATCCCAGTCTTGACAATCCTTGGATCTGCATCCTGGGAGACGTAGTGTTCGTCGACATGATGGTCGATGCAGCTTGATACGGTAAATCTGGCTGATATGGTTTCATTAGAGAAGCCAGGTATTGACGGAGAGTTGTGGTCGACCAGGAACAGGGATTGTTTCTCGGTTGAATCTGAGGACTGTGTTTCTGAGTTCTTAGCGTCGAGAAATAGCTTGTGTAGTGCTGATCCCTCATCATCCATGATGTCCGCGATGGTGATAAGTTCCTTCAACACATCAGTCTTGCCCTGCGTTCGCCCCCCTTTACCGACAATGTCGGGCGACTCTCCTAAAGCCAATCTTAGAGCAACCCCAAACTCCGGCCTAAGTCTCCACAAGTCACTTGCTTTAACGGACGGAAGATTTAAAATCGGTACGTAAGCGGTTTTCCTAGGATGAGCCGCGTTGTCCGCTGCTAGATTATACCAAAACGAGGTCTCAACGGTGGAGACGAAGCTGTCCAGGTCCGCAGATGGATTCCCCATTACAAGGACCAGCCTCTGCGATACGCCATTGACAGGATGTGAAGACTTTGAAGCCACACCACCGCCGAGGACCAGATTCCTCATGCGTGAGAGATAAGACGTCATTGAAGGCATGCTGCCATCCTTGTTCTTGTGATCTTTGTCCAGGCAAAGGTCGGACATTGAGGGAGATTTCAAAGTGACAGCAGAAGAAATTTTGAGCCTAATAGATCTCTGAAGGAGGAAGATGAAGAAGAGTCAATGAGGCCAGCTGCATTCGACACTAGAAGTCTCCTGAACGGTCCTGAAGCAATGCTATGAAAAGTGCGAGGAGTTGAGAAAAAGGAAAATGACAGCCTTGCAGCCTCGCCGCTGATCGTGACGTAAGGCTGTGCGGGTGCATTACACGTCGCTCCATCACCCAGCGCGGGGGAGTACGATCGGACGACTGTTATTGTCCTTTACCGTAAACCCAGTCTACACACAGTACCCTGCAAGTATGGTCTGCACAAACCCCAAATCTAAGTTCAAGCCTATTCAAAGAGCTGGGATCCCCATGCTCTTGCCCTCCGTACCATTCCCAATTCGTGCCCGTACTCGGATTTGTGTCAGCGAAATGCATCAGTCTAGCCGGAGTTGTCAGTATCAACAACGCGGGATCCCTGGCATATCCCATCCACTGTAGGCAAGGCAGAAACACCCGGGGTGTGGCGAGTACAGCGATGGAGAGCACGATCGGCGAGACAGGGATATAACTGGTTGCACTTTCGAAACATTTCCGAGCCGTCTCGCCAGGATAACGAATTCCCATGGCTTCGGCTCCTCAATTCATCCGTCTGTGGCTTCCGGACTTACTCCTTTCGACCATTTGGAGTGAGCGGACGATTATTGAACTCTGCCTAGTTATATTAACTTGTGCAGAATGTCGTTTTCTCTATGATCCAGCAGAGGGGTATCAAAGATAAGCTCATTTTTTACGGCCGCAGAATCCCCAAACTGGTGCCGGGCTGTTTTATCCGATGTATTAGATCCATGCATGTTGAGGCAAGGCGTCTTTGCGATAGCAATACCATTAGCGGCAGCGCAGCAGCTCCAGGCGCATGCACATGTATATATATGTCTAGAATCCCACCTTAAGACGAGTCTCTCCTTATGAGACAACACGCACAGAGCATACTCCTTCAACAACTGAACTAGAGACCAAACAAGTTTACAACCTACCCGCAAGAGACTGGAAAATATGCAGTGGCTTGTCACAGGTTGCAGCACAGGCCTCGGTCTCGAGATCGCACGGGCTGCTCTCGAATCCGGACAGAAATGCATTGCCACATCACGCAATCCAGCCAACTCTTCCGACGCGGTCGAGGAAATTGAGAAACTCGGCGGTGTTTGCGCCAAGTTGGATGTTTCTAGTCCAAGCCTTGAAAGTGACATCGACGAGATTGTCAAAGAACACGGAGCCGTGGATGTTGTGGTGAACAATGCCGGATACGCAGATGGCGGGCCTTTGGAGATGATGGAGTAAGTCAGCTTTAACTCTACCCCTGCCCCAGAATAGTGCCGGTCGAGGGAAACGGCTAATTCCAACTCCCTGTTGACAGCCTTGATAAGGGCCGCCAGCTGTTTGAGACGAATTTCTGGGGACCCGTCCGTGTCATTCGAGCACTTGTGCCATCCATGAGAAGCCGGAACAGTGGGGTTGTTGTCAACGTCTCCAGTGCAGTCAATTGGAACGCTCCTCCTGGAGCTGCTGTGTACGCTGCCTCCAAATTTGCGATCGAGGGAGTATCCGAGGCATTGGCCGTCGAATTGTCGCCCTTCCAGATAAGAGTTTTGATCGCCGAGCCAGGCGCGATGAAGACCAGCTTTTACGATCCGAAGAAGATGGACGTGGTGGCCATTTCCGACGTGTATAAGGGAACTGTCACAGAGTTTGTGTTGCAGGCCATCACAGGCCTGCATGACGGAGCGCCACAGGATCCAAAGAAGACTGCTGAAGCAATTGTGAAAGAAGTTTTGAAGCCTTCGTCTGACCCCATGATTTTGAGAATGCCATTAGGCAAGGAGTCTCTGGGGGGAATGCGGAAAAGAGCAGAGGAGTATACGAAGATAGCCGACAGCGTGGAAAAGATTGCTGCGGTTTGCGACTTCTGATGCTAAACGCCGTTGATGGGAGTTGAAGATGAGAGACATGACCAGGCAAGGCTGTGATCATTTCCACGAGAATACAGTCCCGTCGTCTCACTCAAAGATCACTTGTTGCGTCAGATAATGATTCGAGGGCTGTGAAACACAAACACCGTGGCAACGGCCAGCTCTTCCGGCAGGGAAGGATGGAAACTCGTGTCGTAGTCCCTCCCGTCTGATAGAATCCCGTTCAGTGCAGATACAGAGGCCGTAGTGATCGGGGATGTCGAGTTGAGACAAATTCTAATGATCAAGAGAGATCTGGAGCTCAGAGGGCCAAGTGTTGCATTCCAAGAGTAACACTTGCCCAGTTGACGGTACCTCCATCTTGTATACGACAGTCTCTCGCGTTTGGTCCGATAGACTCGTGAGCGGAATAAAGGTTGAGATCGAGCCATAGAGCCTTGCAAGGAATATTGAGCCCGACTGGGGATCAACGGTGTGTAAACGAGGAGCTCTTGTGGCTGACCGTCGACTTCCAAAGTCTGCAGGGACCTCTGGTTCTCCCACCCGCAGTTATGGCAACCGGTGGCAATGTGTAAACTCTGACCGTCCCAAGTGAATTATCAGAGAAGTAGTTGAAGGCTGAGTTGGGTGGAATTGAGCGCCGGCGGCCACAGCTCGGCTTCAGCATAAGTGGCCTCTATTTCCTGAAGGACCATCTCTTTTCAGTGCAGAGTGGTCTCTTTTCGTTGAAGGCTGGCTGATATATTTGGAAGAATGGTCTCTTTCGTTGAAAAGCGGCCGCTTTCGCCTCTTGGGCTTTTAGTATGGCCTCCCAGCCAGACGGGCTTAACGCATAGTTACCGACGCTGCTCCCGTCGAGGTATTTCGCAAGTCGTCTGCCACCGAGTAGCAGCAAGATTGTGAAACAAAGAAGAAATACAACACTCAACGGATCCCCGCTAACTGGCGTGAGCTCCTCTCTTGAGTCGGCGTACTCACCGAAGCCAAACAAGGCGTTGAAAACCTCAAAAAGCAATAGTAACCTTCCCCTCTCCACGGCTTTCAGAGCAGCAAGGACGAATTGATGTGTGTTGATGTTTTCCCTCCCATATACAGGACTCTGCGGAATTGGTCTCACAAATCTCGTCCCGTGCGCGGAAGGGGTTGATATACTGAGTAGCGAGTCGACGAGATCCACCCCAGCCTCAAGAGCATTCATTGGTTCCGTAATTCGGGGATTCACATCGATGTAATATGGTATCCCCTCCACGAGGATTGCATCGATAGACATAGCAGCATCGTACTTCAAGAATGCGCCAAGCTTCATCAAATCATCCTCGAACACAGGGAGTGGAAGAGAGGTCTTTTTCGTTGCCCCTCCAGATGGACCTTCCCGAGCGCGAAGGCATGCATGCCAACTCAGCAGTTTTCCACCCGAAAACACCCCTTCTACCATCACAAGCGGCCCAGCCACCGCTTTCTGGATCAAGACTTGGCCATTGTTTCGAAAAGAGCCTAGGTGTTCGAACTCTCGACCAACGTGCGCCAGATCCTCAACAGTCTTCGCAAATCTGACGCCTTTGCTAGCTGTGCCAATGGGAGTCTTGACAAAGGCAGGCAATAGGTCAGTCATAGCTCTCAACTCGTCGGTTGAACCCACAACTACATTCTCTGGCTGACGCACAGATGCTTGTTGGAGAGTATGGGAGGCTGAGATCTTGTCCATAACACGACTGACTGCTTCAAAGGATGGGACAGCGATGCCCACTCCCAGTCTCCGTATCTGGTCCACCTCGGCTGAGAGAACAGCCACTTGTTCTTGCGTGCAGATGACAGTCTCGATCTTTTCCCGAATCATGACGCCCAGTGCAGAGTGTAGCCATGCGTAAGGATCCGGTCCAAAGGGCGGCACAAGATGCGTCTTTTTCACCCAACCTGTGGCCTTAGTAAGGGAGAGTCCGCGCGCGCAGAGAACGTGAACTTCGTGACCTTTGCGGCCAAGAATTGTTGCCAATTGTCGGGAAGTCAGGCCCGATCCGTCGGAAAGGAGGACCTTCATGGTTTCTCAAAAGGATTGAATAGATCGTAGCTGTATACCCGAAGCACAGAATTTCACAGTACGGTACGCTTTAAAGTAGGTTTGGTGAGGAGGGCAAGTTCCCAGATTGAGTTAACCTATACACAATGGGAGTATCGCAGTGCCGTCTCATTAATATATCAAATATTGGTATGGGCTATCATAGTCAAGAGATGGGATGACAACCGCCATGGTGGTCTGATTGTTGCAACACCCGACATCTCGGCAGAAGGTCTTACCAAGTCAGCTGTCAGTAACCGCAGCCCTTCACTAACATGATATCTCTATTATCACCATACTTGTTACTCATGTCGTGGATATTGTCCTCGTTTTCTCGTCGCGGTTGTTTGTTCTCTACTACCTGAAGCGACAAGTTGGTTCACGGACCAAAAGCAGGCAGAGTTGCTGCATCTTGTGCATTGAAGATTTGTGAAATTTGGGGGTTGCCGAAGTTGTGCCGAGCCCTGTCTATATATGGTTAGTAGCAGAGACTTTTCGAGGTAATGGCAAAAGCGGCGCCACTTCCCTGCGGAGACCGACGCTTGCGACTTTTTGTGGAGCGTCGCTTACGGATATCTTTCCCATAGACCGACGTCAGGCTTAAAAGTGACGACTCCGGCTGGAAAGACATCGCATCTCATATTCATATTAAAAGGACCGGCAGGGCATACTCTATGGCGTGTTAAAGTCTGTTTGACGAAGCGTATTGCTTCCGTGATTCGTGTCTACAACAGCCAATCAAGAGGAGACTTTTCCTTCCTCCTGTGGCACTTCGGACGCATCAGAACCATCAACCCAATGAGACTGCACAGGTCCTAAATTTGACATAACTTGTACTTGCCGCTCTCGGTTCTTTCGGCTCCAATTCCTGTTGCATTCGTGCTTGTTGCACCTTCAATCCCTTTGGCTTCCCTTATTTTTTTTTCTGCTGCAGCCGCTGTTCTCGTTCTCGCCCCCAGGCCTGCGGGAGCCAGAGAGGTATTACCTGTAACTCCTGAATCGATAGAATAAAATTCTCAACCTTCTATAGTGGATGGAATGGGCGATAGAGAGAGCTCTACCCAAGGTCTGTGTGAGGCTCAGGTGCGTACGCTCGTGTCCTTGCCGAAACCTAATGCAGTTCTATGTTATTACGGCGTCGTGTCGTTCCATCTTGACTCAGTACTTGTCCGCTACGTTACCACATTCGACTGCCTGACAATATCATGGCTACCATTAGCCGGGACTCGATGGGACGTTACCAAATGTATGAACGGTGCTGGGGTGAGCGGGGGACGCGCAGAGTGCACGGACATAACCCTCTATTCATCGAAGTCCCTTGAGGCTCTGGGTCTACGTATAATAACCTTGTTAAGAACAAATAATACAGCTGCTTCGTTGTTCTTTCGACCGTCTATCTCAGCAGCTCCTTGTCTCCCGGTAAGGACGGCACGATGTGGCTTTTGATATCAGGACTCTCAAGAAAACGGATTTCAAAAAGACAGTCTGAAGTATGCAATCTTTTTACATTGCTGGCTCTTCGATGAGGATTGTGGGGAAGTTACATTTCAAGAAATGCAAGGCTCAGAGTCGAAACAGAAGGCCAAGAAGGGATATAGGAAGATCAGGAATGTCTGTGCCATCGCCCGCGATCACTATCAGTATATCTGGATCTATACCTGCTGCATCGACAAAAGAAGCAGCGCAGAGCTTCGAAAGGCCATCAATTCCCTGTTTCAGTATTACCACCACGCTGAGCTGTGCTACGTATGCCTGGACGATGTACCGCCCAGACAACAACCTAGAGCGATGGCCGCTTTAACCAGGCCAGATGGTCCGCAAGTGGTTGGACGTTGCAAGAACTGATTGCGCCCCGGGATCTGGTCTTCTACGCGAAGGACTGGATTTTCTTCGACACTAAGGAAAGACTCACCGATGAAATTGCCAATATCACCGATATCGACATTGCTTTTGTTCGAGGTAGAGACCTCAGCCAGGCCAGTGCGGCTCAGAAATAGTCTTAGGCTTCTAAGAGAAACACATCAAAGGAGGAAGACATGGTGTAATGGGAGAAGTTTGAAGTGGTGGATAGCGTTATGATTGGCTGGGGCGCCGATCCTAGACTAGGGTTCTTCTTATATAGTCCTCGGGGACTACCCTTCATAGAATGGACAATCAATCAAGTTACCAACAGAGAGGACTTCCTTGGGTTGAGTGTGCGTGTTGGGAAGGAGCTATGCCCACCGCCGTACGAGTTAATGCCCATGGCTAGTAGCCTCACCCCAGTTCAATGGCATACGGCCTGATCAGGCAGTTTGATCTCTCTATAGCAGTGATATATGGAGAAGGGCTGAAGAAGGTGTTTGGTCGCCGGCAAGACGCTGTCCTAAAGGATACAGGCGATCAATATTTTGTTTACTTGGACTGATAATGCACCAACCGACGAAATCTATGGAAAACAACCGTTCGCAGATTCTCCTAAGCGTTTTAAGCAAAGCAAGGCCAAGACCTCGGCGACGCCCCGAGCACCAAACACGCATTTCAGATTGTGATCTTCCCGTCGCTCAAAGCCTACGAGCTGATCAGCGTCTCCCCTTCTCAAAGTTGGCAAAAGAGCACGAATCCCCTCCTGATCCCGCATATTGTTTACATCATGCCAAATTACAAATATTGCTGGCGCGGTATTGCAGTTCGAACATATATTGGGGATTCTCCCTCCTTTTCTGCTGGTAGTGGTGGTGGGCATGAGCAATTCCTCGGTGAGTAAGGCTTGCTGGTGCAATGCGATCCGCGATCCCGGTCATGGAGACCTGGCTAAGGTATTGAAGTCGTATGACAAAGAGCTGGAGGAGCAAGAATTTGGGGAAAGCGACAAGCTGATACTTGGCAAGCTTCTTTTTCCACTTGGTGCTGTGGATGTCAAAGTTGCCCTCCCTTGCGAAAATCAATTATACCCTCTACGTCACTGTTTAGTGCCTCTCACCTGTTGTCCTGCAGGCACATACACTGCAATGAGATGGCTCTCACGGTTGTTCGCACCAATACTATGGTTGCCAGATGGTGGATTTGACAGGCCGCAGGTGTCTGAGGATGAATTTGGCTTCGGTGCGAAGTATGGGCTTTCACGTTCTTGGCCATCAGATATAAGATATAAAAGCTCAGGGATCTTTGCCACAGTGAAAATCCTTTTACAATTGTTGTACAAATGTTCGATAAGCATTACGTCTTCGTACCATTCCGGAGCGATCCCTCAGTGGAAGTAGCAGTCCGGAAAGCGGAATGCCAGCACGCTTATACCCAGCTATCCTATCACCAGTTGGGATTTGACTTCATTCTTTTCAGAACGAGATGGACAATGTTGCTTCCGTTATCTAGCCCCTTGTCCGCATCCCTTGAGCACTGGAAGAAGTGAGGCGGAAAGATGGGGATCAATGGAGCAAGGGCCATATGATAATGATCGAGAGTTAAAATGGCGTAAAAGAGCACCAGTCGGCATCACGACAATAGTTTTGGATCCTCGTCCGCGTTGCATGCAGTATGTACTCACCTAGGTAGGTTCCTAGTGGTGTTGAAGCAGTTTCAGAGATCAAGGAGTGAGTGATTGCGAAGACGGAACTGGGGTGGCCAGGGGTGGATCTAAAAGCAGCATGGTCGGGGGTACGAGGTAGTCGCACGTGATACTCTAAAATGCCAAGATTTCGACTGCGGACGCGAAATCTGGCCCCTTTTTGGGATTTGGTTTGGACTCGCGTACCATTGAACTGCATTTCTTCCTTTCCTCCCTCGCTTCCTCCAATATTTTCCAGCCATGCGACTGTATTCAATTCTTCTCAGCCTGCTGGCACTGGCTGTTGCCAGAGTTTGCAGCACCGCATTGACGTATAAACTTGGCGCCAATGAGAAAGCGTGTTTTTTCAGCAATGTTGAGCGACAAGGCGCCAAAATCGCATTCTATTTTGCTGTAGGATTCTTTCTGCGTTCATTTGCGTGGATTGACTAACATATGATGTCAAGGTTCAATCCGGCGGTTCCTTCGACATTGACTATGAGGTGGTAGGCCCCAATGACAAGAAAATCATGTCAGGGGAAAAGGAAAGACAGGGCGATTTTGTCTTCACCGCGCAGACTGCAGGCGAGTACCGGGTCTGTTTCAACAATGAGATGTCTACGTTCGCGGACAAGATGGTGGACTTTGAGGTTGCCGTACGTCGCCACCCCGAGTAGTTCGTTCCCATGATGACCAAACCCTCTGACTGATGGGATCACGCAGGTCGAAGATGAATCCAAGTCTGCCCTCCTCCCACAGAAAGCTGGCTCAACTCCTGAACAAACGTCTGCGTTGGAAGATCTGGTCTTCAAGATTAGTGGGCAGCTTAGCACAGTGAGCAGAATGCAAAAATACTTCCGCACGCGAGAGAACCGCAACTTCAGCACGGTCAGGAGTACTGAACAGAGAATCTTCAACTTCAGTTTGATTGAAGTGGGCATGATGGTTGGTATGGCTGGACTCCAGGTCTTGGTGGTAAGATTTTTCTTTCAGGGGGCGAGGAAAGGTGAGTTCTCTCATATGCTGGTTTGAGATGTTGTATAAGGACTAATATGATGGACATCTGCAGGTTATGTATAAATTGCTGCATCTGTACCACTGTTTACATAGGCTACGGCACGCTATCATGTCACGGCACGGGAAGGACGATCTTGACGAGGATAACAAGGTCATAGACACGGAACCTCTGGGAGTTTTGGGACTCTTATCTGATCCGACTAGGCCATTAGCGCTCCATACTGCAAGGCGGGTGCGAGACACCTGTGTACCTGCTAGAGGATTGCAAGCTGGCTGCGAACATGATCTTCGACAGAAGGCAAAAGTTGCCCTTGGCTTCTTGCTGTCAGCCGCCTCGAACAACCTATTCTTCTATTCATTTCCCAGGCTCCGCTCACCTCTTTCTTCCTCTCTCCTCTATTTTGCTCATTCTGCGTCCTTCAATTCCCAGGAGGAGATTATCAATAAATGATTATTTGATGTCAGCCTTATCTACCAGCGCAGGCGGTGGTCTCCACCTTGCAGGACATCACAGTGTTGATAGAGAGATACAACCATCCATTGACAGTAGGGCTGGCCTCCGAGAAGCCATCAACCCAGTCTTGGACACATTATTCTCGGAGGTCAGTCCTACTCCCACGACCCTGTGAGGCAGCCGCCTTGTCATCGGATTCATTGACCGGTTGTCTCTATTTATTGAAATAAATATTCGATTGTCTCTCAGCTCCCTTCGGCGGACTTAATTGGACCATAAAGCTCTACAGGTCGCGGGCTATCCGCCGATAGCCCCAACTCCCATCATCGGCATTTCTATCAGAATCTAGCTAGATTGGATGTTATTCCAATTGGACATACACGGTCGAATATGCCCTCTCCATGTCTCTCTGTTGAAATGAGTTTGGATTGCCGGAGCTCTTTCTGAAATCCTAGCGGAAACCTTCCTGCCACGGTGCTTTCTCTACGAACTACCTTGGGGCTAGGAAGAATGTCCCTGGTCCAGATCTCACCAGCTCTAAACAGGAACAGGGAAATAGCCATGTCCTTACAGGCGCGAAGACGCCACAGTTAGACGCCACGGATGTCCTAGATGTCATGTTCCTTGGTGAATAGAAACACCGGTGCCGATGGTGGTTCTTCGCTCCCGGTTAGCCATGCAAGGGGTTGTGATTGAAATAAGTTTGCCCCGTACGTCCGTCATTGAGGCAGGAACTCCGTGGAGACTAACGATAACAGAGCAGATGCAAACTCCTCAACGAAGCCGGCGTGGAGAAAAAGGTACAATAGATCGGATCAGGCTGAGGTCACTCACGGCGCGTCCGATCTGCCCCGGTTCCTGTATCATCGACCTATTCTGTGTGTCTGTTTATTCACCATCCAACAACCCGCGGTAACTGGTCGCTGCAGATTCTAGCTGCAATATTGCATCTCTTTTCTAGATATAAAACCTTGATATACGATTTATGGTTCTTTGGACTGTTTGCATTCGGAACCACCATACTCGGTGCACACACGCACATCCGCTCTCTCTGCACATGCCACCAAGAATCTCACGAAGTGACTTGGCGCTGTGGAGCCGAGAAGGGCAAAGCATGGCTTTCCAGGGTTCCTTGCCAAGGCAACCTTCAGCCCCCTAGAGGGGCGTCTGACTCTTGTGCAAGGAGGTTCTATTTTCGGGCTCCTTACCACTCGGCCGCAACAGGGACTGTCGCGCAATTCGAGCTTTTCAGATCGGGCCGACGATGCCTCTACAGAGCACGGGCGAACGGTTGAATGAGCGGAAAGGCATTTAAAAGGCGTCGGTCCAGTTGCAGCGTTCATCGCGACTTTGGAATATCCTGAGGGGTACCCGCACACACATCTGTGTAGCTTCATACGATACAAGGACTGGCTGATCGACCAAACGTATGTACAGCTGGATGGGATCGCTACAGGGAGGCTCGTTGGGAAACCATCAAGCACGGTAAGACTGATAAGGAACCCCGAATACTACTGGCACTGGAGAGCGGGAGAGAGATTTGGATTTCTTCAGGCTTTTCGGTCTTTCGGACGGTCGTCTGTGGGACTCCAAACGGCAGAAACATAATTTCTACGTGCTGAGCCCGGAGGAAATTACCTAGCATCGGCCTTGTACGCTTGTTGGATATCCCTCCCGGCTCGCTGTGGTTGATATCACAGCTACCAGAAGAAGATGCCGTCAACATCATTCAACACAATCGAGGACATCCTCGCAACGGCGACAATCGACCCGGCCTTCTCCGCCGCGCTGGGATCGAGCAATCTCTTGCCAGGATCAAACTACACCCTCGCGGACATCAAGCAAGGCGCCGCGGCGGGCCTCGTTCCATTGCAAACACGACTCTCCGAGTCGCGACCGCCCCAAATTACCGAGACAGAACACTGCATCAAACTCCGCGATGACTGGACCTCCCGCATCATTGTGTGCCATCTGACCTCCGACCTCCAAGGCACTGCGCCGCCGCGACCACTCATCCTCCTGCTGCACGGCGGGGGCCATACCATCGGCTACCCTGAAATGCAGCTGCGCCTGGCTAGGGAACTCGTGCTAGCGCACTCGGCCGTGGTGATCTGCTCGTCGTACCGTCTGGCGCCGGAGTTCCCGTTCCCCTTCTCTATCTGCGATTCCTGGGAAGTGCTCCAGTTCTGCGCCAGCGAGAACAGGAAGTCCAACTCGGCCATCTTGCCCCGGTGCACCGACGCGCGCGTGGGATTCCTCGTCGGTGGCGAGAGCGCAGGCGCAAACCTCGCAGCCTCCTTGGCCCATCTGTCCAGAAACCACAACTTGAATCCTCCGCTGACTGGACAAGTCTTGGTGGCGGGAACATACATCTCTCCGGAGCGAGTGCCTGAGAGGTACGCGGACAGGTATTTGAGTCGACAGCAAAACGCCGACGCCCCGATCCTGGACCAACATCTCATCAAGCTGTTCACCGGCGCCTTCCAACCTGATCCGACTTCTAAGCTGTGCTACCCATTTGACCAAAACGATCCGCGCGACGAAGGCGATGGCGCAGGAACCAGGTCCGTCAAACACGGCCACTTAGGCGTCGCGCCTGCTTATTTCCAAGTTTGCGGCTTGGACCCGTCCAGGGACGACGGGTTAATCTATGAGAAGGTATTGAGGGAGGAATGTGACGTGCCGACCCGGTTGGATCTGTATAATGGGTTCGCACATTGTTGGTGGACGATATTTCCGGACCTGGAGATGTCGCAAAGGAGGACAAAAGACACCGTAGACGGAGTCGGATGGCTATTGAGTCTGAAGAAGAATGTAGAATGTCTTAGCGGGGAGTGATTTGCATGGTCGACTAGGGACACACTCGCATCCCTATCCTGAAAGGCACTCAGAGACTGATGATACTACCTATGTATCTGCGTTTCATTCTGCCAAAAAACCACATCTTGTGTAGGAAAGCGAGGCAAGCGGATTATGGCAGCCAAATGTATCCTACTCGTCAACCAAGAATCATTTCACTTCCTTCCATTCGCTCGCGCGCGCGTGTCAGCAGTCGAACATCTTGGTTGTGCTGACGTTCAGGCGGCTCCATTTCCCGCCCTGGCTGATGCAGCTCCAGAACCGCATCGGCCAGTAGACGTGGTACAACCACCACCAGGGCAGCGGATCCCAGGGCGCGTACGTACCGTCGTTCCATGTCAGCATGTGGTTGAAGAAGGCCATGTAGCCCTGATAAAGATCTGGGATCGACACGTCGTCGGATAGCGTGAAGAAAGACAAGGTCGGAAGGAGGACCAGAGTGATGAGATCGTGTCCGATCCAGTAGAACGACTTGTCGTGCGTCACGGGCCGCGTGATCTGAAGAGCGTCGTCAGCTAGGCGGCCGCTATGCTGGCTTTCGAGGACCGATAGATAAGCGCCCACCAGCGCCGGTGTCCCATCGAACAGCGCCACCCCCAGTGTGCGCCCGCGGGTTGCATTCGATGGGATAAAGGACGATGTTGTTTCCGGGATCCGACGACGACGGCTGGTCTTCCTCGTCCTGCACCATGAAGTCGAAAGACAGATGGCCTGTAAAGTCTGGCCCTCCGCTCGTGGCATACGTCTCGGTGAACGCCAGCATCGCCTGACTCAGGGCTGACTGGGCAGGGAGCGCCTGGTAATGCATGGGCAATTCGGCGGAGGGACAGGCCACGAACGCCTTCACGCGGCCTCCCACGACCAGTGAGTGCATGCAGTATTCTTTGCCTGCGATGAACTGCTGCAGTATCCATGGCGTCTCTGCCGAGATCTGGAGCCGTGCAATGTGCGCTGACGTTTCGCAGTCGGAGTCTTTGGGCAGCAGCGTCAGATCGCCGCGGGCTGAGTCGTCGACCCCGATCGTCTTCATGACGTACTTTCGGCCAGGTGGTGCACTATTTAGGATCCTCTCAACAGCCACACGACTTGTGATTTCGTGCGTTTCAGGAACCACAAGACCCCTGGTCCTGGTATGTTGTATGAATGAATGCTTCTTGTGCAGAGTCTGTGTCGTTTTGACGCCGAATTGAATGGCCTTGCACCTGGTCCTTGCTTCGACAACTTCTTTCGCCGTTCCGTCCTCGACCGCCGAGGAGACCCCAGAGCAACTGACCCAGAGCTCGATCTTCTCCTTGGTCACGATATCTAGCAGGGTTTGGATATACGGAGAGGACCCGGATTTCAGATCGGGCTTTTGGAGACGATAGAACCTCCTCAGAGACGTTGATACTCTCCCACAGGCCAACGAACCGTCGGGCTCAAAGTCGGCTCCGATAATGTCATGACCATCCTCGTAGAAGAGTCGTGCTAACACCAATCCCTTGGTCATACCGACTCCAGTGACCAGGACAGTCCGCCTTCTAAATCCAGCTTGGCGAGATGCCAATTTTCGATTCGACATTACCTTGTTCGGAAGGGCTTTGCTCATGAGAAGAGAGATGAGTAGAATGAAAGTATCCAGGGGAAGGAAGGTAAGGCTCAAAATCAAGAGGGAGGCATTTTGCATCCTATGAGCAAGCAGCGAGGAGCTTGCCTAGAGCATCTTAGCTTCGGGCTCTAGGCGTTGCGGAAATAGAAGTTCTGATAATTCGAGCAGGCTGAAGGAGATGGGGGGGAAAAAAAAATGAAAGCTTTCATATGTTTTGACATTGGAGATTTGCTTGCACGGAACAGTTTGTCCAAACATATAGACGTCACTCAAGTAACTAGAACAAGTGGAGAGAGTACCTAGGCAAGGAAACCAAGGCATTACGTCCGCAAGGCGGTAGAGCATAATAGAAGTGCTCGACTTGCCGACCGACCACGCTGCACCCCTACCTGCATCAAAAGGAACGATCCTCGGTAATAACTATACTCGCCCTGATGAGGAGAGCTGGATCAGGAAGAAGAACATAGAGGAAGGCCACGAGAGCGGAATTTTACAGGCCCCTTTCCAAAGACACAGATGACGGTCAAGGGTCGTCATTCTAGAAGCACATTACCAGCATCGCCAGTTGCCTACGTTGCTTCGTACCGGACCAGCCTACTTTGGCCCATATATCTCATCAACTCAATCAGTGTGGAAGGAGGGAAGAAGCACTAGTGCTTGCACCCAAGGAATGGACGTAAATGTCTGTTCTATATGGCTTCATGTCGAGGCGTAGCTGCCTGCTTCTGCAACTCCAATGCATCTCGTAATTTCGACACCGTCCTGGTAGATTCTGTAAGGATGTGAAAACATTTGAACCCGGTGTGGGCACTTACTGGCACTCCTGAAGGTTCGAAGCTGTGAACTAGACGGCTGTCGTAGATCAGCAGCGGGTTTCCCACCCTTGTCTCGTCCAGCTTAACCTCACCCTCTCTTTGAAGGTATTGATTGGCTGTACGATCGGCAAAACGAGTGTCTACACCACTGACGGTTTGTACTGCCTTGGTCGCCTGCTTCTTCTGCTCGACACTGCTCCGAACGTATTCGAGATAAGGGGGATTCCCAGGTTTGATCACATTGTCTGCGGCAAAGACAGAGCCCGGTGCAATCAGGTTCAGCTCCTCGCAGAGCTTCAGGTCGGTGGTGTATGCAGGCTTATAATGATCCAGAAACATTAGGTCGACGTGCCGCAGAGTTCCTGCCACATGCAACTCCTTGATAGAGGCATCACTTGATCCCTCAATGACCTGTACAATGTCGCTCAAGCCGGCAAGATCAACCAGGGAGGAGATGGCGGTTACAAAGTCGGGGTTTCGTTCGAGGCTGAAGTACTTTTTGCCTCCTGCCTTGCGGAGAGCATTGCCGAACAAAATGCACGAGTACCCAACATAACCGCCGAGCTCGACCATAACCTGCGGTTTCATTCCGGCTATGAGATCCGTGATGATTCGGCCTCTGTCTTCTCCCACATTCATCAGGTATTTCTTGGTGCGAGCGAACTCATCGATAGCGGCCAGCACTTTATGCGGCGAGCCTCGAATGTCCTCAATATCTTGCTTGTCGTAAATGAATTGTAATAGTTCCATCTCACGGCCATCATCGAACTGGGGCAAGTTAGTGAGCTTCACTAGAGCTTGCGGATGACTATACAAATATCTCCTCCTGCTCCTTATGTTGCTTTCGAGGGTCGAAATTAGCCATTGCTTCTTGAAGATGGACGCCTATACCATGAAAGAAAAAAAGCGAGAAGTGTATTGGAAAGAAATGGATATTTGCCATCTCAAATGTGGCTGTAATGGAATACCACAGACACAGATCACCTCTCACCGAGACCTTGCTGCGCTGTCATCAAGATGATTTTGTTCATTCCAGTAAGGGAAGTTAATTCAACTGGTGTGGTTCAAACAGGGGAACCAGTAAGCCTAGATCTGACGTGGAGTGGCAAGCAAGACGCGAAATGGGTTTCGAAGAGATCGAAATGAATGAACATGTCTCGATATAACGCCGCCGATGCAGTTGGACTGGTGGGAATAGAAAGTCATGATCAAAGTCAGCAAAAATGTCAAATGTGATAATGATTCGTTGACGGTGGTGCGACCAATGAAGCCGGAGACGCTAGACTTCATTTGGTCTAGCTATCCACAGCGTGATCTGGCCCAATGCCTTTTGGCGTGCAACCAACATCCTCTTTTCTTTGGCGGTCAAGGATGGCCTTGTTGTAGAGCGCCATGAATCGTCATCAACCGCTGAATATGGACAGTCGTATGCGGAAGAACCTGCGTAAGTCGCTCTTTACTCCGAACTGACATCTTATGCCACCCTTTTGCCCATTGCGGTCACCGCAGATTGGGCCGGATCTTGAAATCTTGAGAAGCAGATCTAGGGGGTGGAGCTATCGGATCGAGACGCTAGGATCTGTTCTCTTTCGAGATCTGTGTGGAAAGATTTAGCATTTATGCAAGAGATGGGCTCTGGGAGACACCGCATTCAGCCCGTTCGACATGCGCGGATGATGCTGTCGGTTTCCAGGCATAGTTGCCTCATCGACTTTTCACGACTACATCATGACTCCGACTAGTCAAATCCAAAATGGTGCCAAGTTGGCTTTGATGCCTCTGAAGCGTTGGGGCTAGGGTCAATTCCTTCGCAAATGGTTTCTGGCGTCAGTTGAGGACCCGCTTGCGGACGTCTCTCGCAGAGCTGTTGAGTCCTGCTGGAGAATGTACTCATTTTCTGTACCCCACAACCTGGTCTGTCCAGCCGGACGGCTCGCCATTTGTTTCGTCGGAGATACCTGGCAACCAGAAATCTACTTTTCCAGGAAGGATTTGCCGTCCGATGAGTTCGTCGACGGCCATGCTCACGGAGCTGTTCATATATCAGAACCAAATTCTCTCCTGTAGCTTCAACCTCTCAATCTTCTCAACCTTTCTCCTCCATCTCCTTTGCTTCGAAACTTCTCATAAACTAGGAATTTTGCGTGTATTTCGCAATGTCTGACCTCAAAGCCTCAGTTGCTGAAACGACAGCTGGGTTCCACATCGAGGGCTATGAGAAGATCGAATACGACTTTACCCTCATTGACGGAGTTTTCGATCTCAAACGACGTGACCTGGCCGACTGCTATACACGGTGGGGCGTTGCCTGGCCGTCATGGACTACAATATCTTCAATATCTATGGCGAACAAATGCAGAAATACTTCGACCATTACAACATTGATCTGGACGTTCACAAGACCATGATCGGAGAGAAAGCGAAATCCATTGACACCTTCCTGAGCATCGTCGATTCCATGAACAAGTTTGGAATCTACAGGAAGGTGAGGATGGATTGGTAAATTCGCAGTATATGCTGCTGACACGTGTTCTTAGGAGCCTGTACTTGTTATTGGCGGTGGACTCGTCACTGATGTTGCTGGGTAAAAGTCACCACCTACCTAGTATTACTTCAAGACACTCTGGCCCACCTATCTATTCAGTGATTGCATAGAAGGACATGTCGCTGATACCACGACCTACAGTTTTGCCTGCGCTGCCTACCGCAGGAACACGAACTACATTCGCATTCCTACCACCGTCATTGGCCTGATTGATGCATCAGTGTCCATCGAGGTCGCTGTCAACTATGGCAACTACAAGAACCGCCTCGGCGCCTACCACGCTCCAATTCATACCTTTCTCGACTTCACATTTCTCCGCACTCTGCCGAGAGCCCAAATCCGCAACGGTTTTGCTGAGTTGATCAAGATCCCCACGTGCGCTCATTTGCCGACCTTCGAGTTACTCAACAAATACTGCGAGCTGTTGATCAACTCTGGCTTTGGTCGGTGTGATGGTGCGACTGAAGAAGTACGAAAGGCTGCAGATGCCATCTGCAGGGCGGGCATTCACGAAATGCTGAAGCTTGAGACGCCCAATCTTCATGAGATCGGGCTTGATCGAGTCATTGCATATGGTCACACGTAAGTTTGACATTCCTGCCGTGTAACTTGCTCTTACCTGTCCAAGATGGTCGCCTTTGCATGAACTTGTCCCAGATGTGCCCCTTCGCCATGGACATGCGATTTCAATTGATATGGCCTATTCAGCGACGTTGGCCAACATGCGTGGTATACTCAACGACAAAGACCACCAGCGAATTCTGCGTCTCTTCTCGCGAGCAGGGCTATCCATGGATCACCACCAATTCGATGAAGACATCCTCGACAAAGGTACCAAGGCGGTCTTGAGGACCCGGGATGGAAAGCTTCGAGCTGCAGTTCCGGGTCCGCTCGGATCGTGTATTTTTCTGAACGATGTGTCTATGGAGGAGATGTATGCAGCTCTCAAGCAACACAAAGCTCTGATGAAGAGCTATCCTCGCCACGGCGAAGGGATCGAAGCATTCGTTGACGCAAGTGACACTGGCTACACGGTGGATAATAAGTCAGTCGAGAGCAACGGCTTGTCGAATGGCCCGAGCTCGTTGAATGTGCTCAATGGTGAGAACTATAAGAATGTCGTCCAAGCCAATGATCACAAAAATGCCGACGGTAGACCGGTCAAGAGTGTTTCGATCGCAACGAAGCACTCATCGGATCTTGAAAGAGTTACCAGCCCTATCGGTGGCGGCACAGGCAACACTTCCGATGGTCTGAATGGTGATTTCGCCAAGGGGGGCTCAGATAGCATTTCCAAGGAGTTGAATGGCTACAGCAAGGGTGTTGAAGTGCGGGCGTGATCGAAGAGGTACGTTGACCAAGGCCCCCACGGTAGCACAGTTGAGCACGGTCCAATGTATCAAGATATCGTTTCCCGGTTTTAAGTCAATCACATGTGCCGTAGCTAGAAAGCTCAATTTTACTGACTGCTGCTCACTTGGAATCCAGTCCTGGCAATAGGCCCTTCCAGATTGAGCCCCTTTATTGGCGTCTACCTCCTTACACAGCATTTATGACGAGGAGAGTATGCTGCGACGATTGACGTTGGTGTTACACTTCGGTGCGACAATCTCAACTGCAACGGTGATCTGAAGCAATCGTCTCTGGCCCTGCATTCCATTCGCCACTAGTGTTGAACCCTGATTTTATCTGGAGGATTGGGCCGAATTGTGGTCTCGACGTGGCATCGGCTCATTCGGTGCTCTCTAGCACAGAGCCCGGGGATTGCTATGCTCTTGCATGACTTTTGGAGACGACCTCAATGGTGGCTTATGGACACGGGCACGCGAACCGTCGTCCAAGCTCACCGTGATACAAAAAGCCTCACATCAAAAAGGAAAATCAGGCGCCAGCAAAATATCACCGTCGCTCATTTCCGTTCTTCATTAGAGGACGTCTCATTCGAAATAACAAGTACAGTTTACACCTATCACGCCACGCTCTGAGAAAGGACCACGCTCATACCCAACGCTAGCAGGTCTGATAACCTAACATTATTTTGGGCGAAATGTCCGTCTAGCTTCCTACGGTGAAGTGACGAAAATCCTTCTGACATTGAGGTCAGCGTCCGGTAATTGAGACTTGGGCAGGGCACTTGCATTTGGAATCTTCGTTGGCGTAGTAATGATGAATTTACCAAGCCTGCACTGTTTCCAACAATGAGTCACTGGGATTCTGTAGAGAGGACCCCAATGGCAGAATACTGTACCTGAACTTTCCAAGTCCCTCGTGCAAAGTTCTTTTCCATATATGCTCTCAGCGCGACCGGGTCGATGTATTTTTCGCTGACGATCTGTTCGGGTGAGGATGAAGAGCCGCCGCCGCCGCCGCCGTTCGAGTGCTGGGTGCTTGCCACCAAGGACGTCGTGCTTCGTCTTTGTAGAGACATTACGCAAACGCTAATTAATGTTTGTTCCAATAGAGCAACGTAGGGTACTAGTTGTCAACTCTTGAAAGGTTTTGCGGCCCGTGTCTTCCCTGTTAGCCGAATGGATCTGAAGAAGATGCCCCGGAGCAGCGAAAGTGTGTACTGTCCGCTCTTGGCATGTGGGCACCATGGACAAGAGGATCATCTGCCGAATTACAGTATCGGCGCCCAAAAGCGCACCATAGTCGCCGCGTGTCTCATCTGTCTTGCAACGGTTCGTTGGGCACTCTTGAGTCTCACGGCAGGATCCGACAAAGTCTTTGTTTCACAAGGAAGTTGAGCAAATTATATACGGCTCTTGTCTGGTTTCTTCCCATGCATGAATGAGCCTTATACACGGGCTGATGGTACATTTCTGGACTTGAATCTCCACAATCCGGCATGGTGTATCCTCCACTATTGTCAGTCCAAAGGAATGTCAGGCTCTGAGAACAAACAATTGTGCTTTACCAAAGAAACTAGATTATGTTCAAATCGAATTCCCTCATCCAAGCAGGTTTGAGTCACAAGATAGCACATGATAGAGGCTCGTAGCGGTCAATGTCGGACAACATACGAATGAGATTAGAGCTACAACCGGGCATGACGATGATTGTCCTCCGTCGACCTCCGGGTTTTCCATCGGACTCCGCATACCCGTCCAGGGCTGCAGACTGAAGTTCTGGCACTTTTCTGGAGAATGAAATCGCACACTGAAAGTGACGCGCCGCCGCAGGCAGCCATCAGCCGTCTCACCAATGCCACAGTGTTCACCGTCTTAATATGGAAATATCCTCCTAACGAAATTAGACCAGCCAACAACCAACACGTGGATTCGACCAATCTCACCCAACTGAGCTGTCGAACTTTAGAACTCGTGTACTGAATCTGATATTTGTCGAGAACTCTGGTCACTTTGACCGAGCCGGGGTCATTCGTCGTGGACAAGTAGTCTTCAAGCTTCGCTTTGTGGATATACTTGCTGGGTATCACTTGTTGGACTGTGACCGTGCTTTTGCTTCCAGCCATTTCTGTATCGACGGCGGCGACCAAGAGCCTGCGCGCTGGCGAAGGGCTCAAAACAAGGCTGAAATCGTAGATTAGAAGTGTAAAAGGGGGGAGCTAAGTCCTGGGGAAAGAAGAAGCTGGCAAGGAGGGGCACGGGCTTTTATTTTGCAGCAGCTGAACGACGTCTGCGTGCGCCAATCCGAGGCATCCTCTTGTTCGGCAGTACTACCTCGGCGCACTATATCCTAGTTGTTTGAGGGGGGAGAGAAGGCGGTCAAGTTGAGGCAGATCCGCAGGTCCTGGGTTGTCAAGCTGGAAACAGGAACAAGCAGCCAATAGTATCCCGAAGTCTCTCTCGCCCGAGGGTAGATGTATTCAAAAAGTGAAGGGGGAGATTCAAGGAGCAATGCCGCAGTGACCGCCTTGCACTGCCACGCCGCGCCCAGCAAGCCGAATCCGCCTTGCCGCCTCGTACCAGTAACCGACAGAGACAATCACCCTTGCCGCTTCTAGGCCTGTAGCCGCGTTTTGTAGCAGCACCCGACCTAAGGGCGCCACGGTTTCGACCACTCCTTCTCCCAGCCTTACCGAAGCAACGTGAACTGTCCTGATCACCCTGCCAGAACCGCTCTGATCAGTCGTTATCTAGCCAATAGCAATTGAATATATAGATATCAGGCTTGGGTGATGTGATCTTTCCGCCTGCTTCGATAGAACCCGCGAGGTCAGAGCTTGCTAATGACGTCCGACAAAATTGTTCAACCGTTACATGTCGACAACAACGGTTTCCTGTCCGCCAACACAACAATGGCATCATCAAAGTTCCTCCAAGACTTGATATGGAATAGTCCAGCTATGGTCTCAAATGAATACCTCAGGGAGCGGCTCAATGTGTGCTTGGCCGGGGAAGACGATCCATCCTTTGTTGAACTCCTGGTCGACGAAAACGACACCAGCCGCTCCAAGGGAGAGCCTGTTCCAGAATACATTTCATTTCCACTGGATTCACTTGACACCCGCTACAGCAAGGCAATACTTCTGCCGCTGGCAACCTATTACAACGTGAAGGAGTTCAGGTATCAGATGACGGTGGGTAGCTCTGCATCTCTTCTGGTAATTTCCTCCTGCTCACACCAGGCTCAGCAACGGATGAAAGCTCTGAAACTCATGTTTGTGACTCCCATCTTTTGCAACCATTTGCTAATCAAGATAGCTTCATTCGACAGCGCAATTCTTTTAGTGAGCTCAGCATTAATCGAGAGCTCCTGGATTGTTTGCTGCACATTTGCGACATATCCTTGAGGTTCCTTGACTTTGTCGTATACTTCGGTCCGAAGAGTGGAGAGACGAGCTTGACACCTCCACGGATCTGGACATCACCGAGAACTCCTGTGTCAGAAGGCCAGCCGGTTCCACGACCTTTCGGTAGGTTTCATCCTGTACAGACTGAAGCCCATGTTGATCAACAAGAATGCATCTACATAATACGATTTCCTGAGCTTAACCACCGCTCCGAGTCTAGTCCCTGGTCCATGAGACAGTTCTTGCTTTATCATCAGATTCCGACGGATTCCGCCACGGCATGTATTATATTTGCTGGCGTCGGTAAAGGCCCAGAAAGGTTGCTCGGTCATTACATATCCTGTTGCGGGAGAAACGAGGCCTTAGATCCAGTGGAAGTCCACCTTGTCCTCTTGAGCAGTGTTACAGCCACCTGGCGGCCGTACATGGAATATCTCGACAAGGAAGTGAGCACTCAAGTGAGTACTATTCATCCATGAGAAAACAAGTCAGTGACGACGAGTAGGCCGACCGTGCGATATTGGCCGACCTTAACGGTGACGGGGTTGAAATGACGCAGCTGGAGGAGCGACAGTACTTGAAACAGCTTGAAGATGCTCTTGACGAGGCAGCAGCGATTCTGGAACATACGACAGATACGGCTGATACAGTGCACAAGAACTTCATGCCCGCCTGGCCGAATATCACACGAACTATTCCATTCGAGATACTTGATCATGGCTTCCAAGAAGTCATCAAAGGGCTTAGACACTACGGTACACAGACGCAGACTCTACGAAACAAGGTCAAAAGCGCTTCTGACTTGGTAACATATTTTTCCGGGTGCTTTCGACGTGGTCCGTTGCTAACGTCCTAGGTTTCCAATATTTTGGATCTCGGCAACAGTAATACGTTAAAAGTGTTGGCAGTAGAATCGGCTCGAGAGACTGCTGTTATGCACCATCTCACCAAGAAGGCCACTCAGGACGCGGCAGCAGTCAAAGTCCTGACAATACTCACATTAATATACCTCCCGGCCACAGTCATATCGGTGAGCAATACTCGCAGACCGACAAACTCTACTGACAGGTTGGTAGAATTTCTTTTCCACTTCTTTTGTCAATAATGTAATGACACGGGAAGGTAACTTCTCGCTAGTTGTCGCTAGTAACTGGTGGATTTTTATAGCTGGTACACTCCCTCTGACAGTCATCACCATCTATGCTTGGTGGTTCTACGTTCAAAAGGAGATACATGGGCAATATCCGACATGGTGGCGATATGCGCAACGCAAATACCACTTATTGCTCGGAACACGATTCAGCGGGCGGCGCCGGAAACGACACGAGGCTGACGGAGAGATGCGCCAACTTTGAAAAGACGGGGTTGAAACCCAGTGTGGTTGAAGCCTCAGACCAGCCTCTCACGCCTTAACCTGTAAGGAGGGAGGGTGGGCGTTGACATGCATGAACGTTTCTCTTGTCCTAGACCTGTCACCTCCGACCCTTGATGAGCTACTGCACGCTAACGCAAGAGCCCTCTTTAGCCACATCACATCGGAGGGTGCTCTCGTGGTTCATGGGCTGAACCGTGGTTCATTGCCTCTTCGCCTCGTTGCCTCGCCGCCTCGAGCAGTCCTAGGAGCAACGTCCGAATCGGCCTGAGCCAACACATCCCCAATCCTGGGCGGGATTCTTGCCCATCATGCTGTCTTTTGTGCTGCTGCACAGCCTGAGTCTGCATCTACCTCTCTCTCCAAAGAAGACGCGCTCTTTAACACCGCCTGACAGCGGCTGCCCAACGATTCCTCCCAAGCCGCAACGCATATCTAGCCTGATGCCCCTCCCGCAGGCGGCACGGCAACTACCTTTCCTTACGCTACACTGTACATCGACCGGGCTAGCGGCAGTAAAAAGCTCTTTCGTGAGAACGCGACTTATCTGTCAGCCTGACTGAGGCGAGAGGGACTCAAGAATTGACTCGACGGCTACCCTTTGTTCTGCTGAAGCAGATACTAGTGCTTGTTCCCGCATTGGTCGCGAAGTCACACCGCTTCACTCAACCTTTCGAAATAATTACCTACCGAGAGAGGCCAGAGGGCATATAACCGCTTCTAGGAGCGGGGGTGCACCAGGGCTATGAGTTACAACCCACCGACACAGCCATCAGGCAGTCAAACACCCCCTTCGGTCAACATCCAATATGCTTCTAGCCGATCATTTGCACCTCCTTCACCGATATCCCCACATCACCTCTCCCCCAACCGGCCTCGTTCTCGCTCGCGGAGTTTTACAAATCGAATTCGTGCTCCGCCATCACAGATAACGGAGGACAAGTGGTTGAGAAGTATATTACCGACCGCCGAAGAAACCGAGTGCCATCTTCGCATTGATGTGGACGGCCCGGACGGGAGTGCATGGAAAGGACAGAGAGTCCAATTTTCCAAATGGGCGTGGGATCGCAACAAGTCTTATGAGCGCCTCCACAAACAGATTATGGCAACGCTGCAGGCCTACAAAGAAGGGCTCTGGCGCAATCCCGAGAACCATGGTCTTAGCGTCTACCGAAGACACGGATCTTGCCACATTATGGGACTTCAACACGAAGGGCCACATTCCGTGATCGAGGACTATGATGCGGACTATCTTGGCCAGAAGGCGATTCAGAACATCTGTGGCTTCATCCACAAGCATCCCTACGAGCCCTTCCGACTAGAAATCCGTTTGCATTTTTCAAACATTCGAATATTGCCCGGGTCTGTGTACTGTGAATGGGAGAGGATGGTGATTGGAGAGATCGAGGCAAAGCTAGCTGACAACCCTTTCCTTGGTCGAGATTTTCTGCCCCGTGTCCACCGCGATCAACTGACCTCGAAAAAGTTGATATTTGAAATCATAAAAGAGAGGCTGGATCGAAGACGCTCGCAGTCAGATCCGGCACATATATGTGACGAGATTGTCAGCAAGCGAGCCTCAATTTTATTCATAGCGTGCATCTACCACAAGTTAGACATCGATATCATTTTACACTTGGTCCAGGATCACGGTTACAACGATGGCAATCTCCCACCCCCCACCGCAGTGGCCGGACAACGAAACTCAACAAACAAATGCGACAAATGCGACAAGAACATCAAGACATTGCGCAAAAAACTTACTGCGTTCTTTGCCAGGAACATCGAACACGATGGGAAACGACATGTCTTGGAGTTTGACGAGGTGATGCCATTGCTGAACATACCAGATGAAAGTGACGAAACTGGTCAGAGCAGGGAAACGGTGCTTGGTCATGGCTCGTTCGGGACGGTTAAAGCAGTCTCCATCGACTCTTCTCATCATTATCTGACGGGCGTAGGTAATATCCCCGGGCTCACTGCCATCTACTGACTCGGCTCAGGATCCCGATCGCACTTATGCCCTGAAGATGTTCCACACAACAGGTGACCAGGCTGAAGACTTCAAGAGAGAAATCTGTATGCTGGAAAGGTTATTCCACGAAGGACATCCGCACCTTGTAACACACATTACAAGCTGGACTCAAAATCAAGTGCATTATATTCTTTATCCCAGAGCCATACGGAATCTCCGGTCACATATGAATGGGCACGATCCTCCCGCGCACAGCAGTGTCAATGTCGCTTGGCTCTTGCGACAATTCCACGGGTTGGCCAGTGCCCTCCGAAGCATTCATGAGATGAAAGAAGAAACGCCAACGATTCCAAGCCAGTCGAGCTCCTCGACAATAGCAGTAGAAAGGCAGAACCATTTTGTGTTCGGCTATCATCACGACATCAAGCCAGAGAACATCCTTTTATTTGAACATGTGAAAGGGAGAAATCCGATGCTCAAATTAAGCGACTTTGGTGCCGGGCGATTCCACTCGATGCCCAGGAACAATTTTGACAAGAGAAGCCAACAAGGTTCAGCCCTGCGTGGCACCGTCGCTTACTTTTGCCCCGAATATGAACAACCGAAGAGCCGTAAATTTGACATCTGGGCTCTAGCCTGTGTGTACTTTGAAATGATGATGTGGTTTTGCCTGCCGGGGCGTCTTGAGGAGTTCCATGGGAAACGGGTCGAACAATCACGCCAATGTTCAGAATGGGAAGATGACTGTTATTGGCGACTCGTACCCGATACTAAAATTGCAGAGCTCCGTCCCGTGGTGGACGAGTTCTTCCGCCATCTGCAAATGCAGATTGTCAATGATCCAGAAGACATCGCGGGGCTTTTGTCCAAAGTGTTGGATCAAATCAAAGCGGCCTTCGCAATCAATCCCGCCAAGCGACCTACAATCGAGGAGCTTTGCAACGAGTTTGACAAACTCCGTGTAGAGGCGGAATTGCTGGTCAACCAGACCGAGCGCGACTTGCGATCACAACCTTCGACCCGAGGCAACAGCCCAAGCAGCTGCAAGGGCTCAGACTTGGATGAGTCTACTCGATTCTCGCCAAATCAACGGCATCACACTTTTCCAGAAGACCAAACATCGTCTTCTTATGACCAGTAACTCCCAGCGGCCACCGCCACCGGGATAGCGAGCTTGCGGTAGCAGTCAGATTCGCCAGAGCTTTGGATAACCGACACCCAAACGCTAGTTGCGTCGGCCTCGCTGAAAAAGAGTGTGTGAAGTTATTGTAACAAGGCAAAGTGGCTGTGCTGGGCTGGTAGAGGAGTAGCAGGGAGGAAATTTGGCTGGTCGCATGTTAAACCAAAATGGACTAGGAGAGCAGGACAGGTTACAGTACTGGCAGTGTGCCATCCTTTGCAGTTTGAACAGAGTATCGTCATTACGTGGTTTTTTGGTGCCGTCTACCTATTTCCTGAGTGTTTTATCGGTCCTTTCCTACAACGCCGCCGCCGTGCTAGGCTCTCGCTGCCCTAGCCACTGCCTCTCTGGGGGTGGTGTTGGTGGTGTTGCTCTGTCAGCGCCGACTAGAAACGCGTTCTCGATTCCCGACCTGCTCGACAGGCCTCTGTGCGTCGTTGAACGTGCATGCCAAACTCTGAAGTGCTCTGTTACCTTATGACCTATTTATCCTGACAAAGGTACGCCTGAGAGGTGCAATCGGCCTACGCGTGCACTTGTCGGAGCATGACACGTTCTCCCGAAAGTTATGGAGACCCCCGACAAAACGGCAGTAACTAACTTCCTACAGCTTCACTTCTTAGATCGTATACGAGAATCTGCTTCTACCGGAGTTGGTATTATCGGTTCTAGATCTATTCGGTATTTAACAGTCAACCCCACCAGCCCCAACGTAAGTTAGATTAACGCATACCGCTAGCCCATCTAGCTGAGGAGGTCTAGTGAGCCGTACCCGAATGCCAATACGAGTACACTATCCAACTTCTGCCTTGGTGGATCGTAATAAGAACTACCCTGATCAATGCGTTCTTGGCACCCTGTAGAAGCATCTCATGTCACAGACAGACCTTCTCTTCCATCCCAATCAACCAGTCAACTTATGGCCTCGGATTCGTTCAACACCTGTACAGATTGATGGCCAGGCGCCTTTTGTTGAAGCAAAGGCCCCAGGTGGGTCGGTGCGGCGGTAGGAGGGAATGGTTACCGCCTTGCAGGGAAAAGCATGTCATGATGTCCGTGAAGAGCCGCGCAAAGGATGAAAAGCAGAAAACATAGCATCATGACTAGCTACGCTTACGCTTGGATCGACTTTGATTACCGGTTGTTCACAATGCCGGGCTTTGAACAGTCTCTGCTATGTTGATCATGGGTTCTCGTCCTTCGTCTGTTACGGATTGGGAGAGGTCGCAGTTCTTGCTCCCTATCTATATGCCTGCTCCTCCCGCTTGAAAAATGACGGTAAACTATTTCACCTGTACGTTAGGTCAGGCTGTTAGCCACCACCAGCAGCAGGACAAGTCCTATGGAACGGTTGCCGGGTTTCTCGATTTCAAGGCACGAACTGCTCCGGACGTCCCCGTCCTCGGCTTGTATGAAGTCACGCAAAGACCCTCACAGCTATGGGAACCGCATATATTGACTTTTCAGGACGTTCAGAGAGGCGTTGGCCTTGTTGCCGGAGCATTGCGCAACGCATTTGATATAGAGCAGCGACAGACGGTAGCGCTTCTTTGCCCAAGCTCTGCGAGTCTCCTATTTACGTGGCTTGGTCTGGTTTGGTTGGGCCACCCGGTCCTTCTTGTGGCGCCTCAATGCTCTGCCTCTGCAGTTGCCCAACTGTGCAAATCCTGCGAAGTCGAGTCGATGCTCTACGAGGGAGCTTACCGGGATCTTGCGGCAGAAGCTTCAAAGGAGGCATCACGATTTGGGAACGCGTGCCTCACAACGCAACCTGTGCCCTTTGCTGGAGAAAATATCCTCGAAGTGATCAAGCGGACGCCTGGTGGTTCTTTTACACCATCACTAGTAGATACCCGAGAGTCAGGTGTGGCATATCTTCATCACACCTCGGGCACATCGAGTGGTACTCCGAAACCCATTCCTCAAACGCACAGGGCGATCAGGGTCCTTCCGATCCTCAACGGCGCAGGGCGCGCAACTTTCACAACAACACCGCTCTACCACGACGGTGTTGCTGATTTATTCCGTGCTTGGAAGAGCAACGCCTTGATATGGCTGTTTCCTGGAAAAGACCTTCCGATCACCGCTACAAATGTTGGCATGTGTCTTGAAGTTGCTGCAGCCTCCCCTTCTAGTGGAACGCACCCGGAGGTAAGATATTTCTCCTCGGTCCCGTACGTCCTACAGATGGTGCCGGATGACGAGGATGGCCGGAGGCATCTTCAAAGAATGGACATCGTCGGCGTTGGAGGCGCAGCTTTACCTGCTGAAGTCGGAGACAGCCTCGTCAAGGATAAGGTGAATCTGGTATCACGATTCGGCAGTGCTGAATGTGGATTTCTCATGTCCTCTCATCGGGACTATGCAAACGACAAGGAATGGCAGTATTTCAGAGCCGCATCTGGCAGAGAGTTTCTCCAGTTCGAGCCCAGAGATGACGGTCTGTCAGAACTCATCATTCAATCGGGGTGGCCGCATATGGTATGTACTAAATTCCGAACCCCTCCTATGTTGCATAGGAATTGAACCAATAGTGGACAGGCCAAACGAAACCGACAAGACGGCTCCTTCGCCACAGCCGACCTCTTCGCGCCGCACTCGACTACCCTCAACGCATGGCGGTACCGCTCGCGAGCCGACTCGCAACTGATGCTCATCACGGGCAAGAAATTTGACCCGGCTCTCTTAGAAGATGCCATTCGGGCATCAGTCTCGTCTGTCGTCTAGGACGTTCTGATCTTCGGAAACGGCAGACCCTATCCTGGAGCGTTGCTGTTCCCTCTCGACGCGATCCAGATGAGCGATGAAGATCTCCTCCGTCATGTTGCGCCTGTGGTCTATGACTTGAACCGCAAGGGCCAGAGCCACGCGCGGATATCGAAAAACATGCTCATCCCCATGGGCCATCCCGATAGGGGGCTTGAGAAGGGCAGCAAAGACACGATCCTGAGGAACAAGGCCGAAGAAAGGTTTGCCGAGAAAATTGCCGCTGCATATGAACACGTTCATCCGGACGGGATCGCTTCTTCTTCCCCAAATGTCCCCGACGATGAAGTACCTGCAAGGATCCGCGATATTATCCAAACGGTCGTTGGCGAATGCCAGAAAGACCTCGACAACGATCCTGAGGCCTTGACAGAACATACGGAACTATTAGCATATGGAGTTGACTCCGTCGCGTGCATCCAAATCCGGCATGCACTGTCTCGACTTCTGCCTAGAGGTTCAGCCTTACCGCTGACCGTGGTCCAAGACACAGGAACCGTTGCAGGACTGACCGACTTTGTTCTACATAAGCTATTGGGGCAAACGGGTCCTGAAACGAGGGGAAGCGAGCGAGATGAACGCGAGCAACATCGGCTCATGCTCGATTGGTCGACCAGTACAGCGTCTTCGACGAACCGCGATCCCCCCCGTCCTATACAGCCTCGGCTTGCACCCGAACTGCGACCTCCTGCTCCCCGCTCCAACGCCCACCAGGTCACTTGGGCATACAGGTCCTCCTCACGGGCCCGACAGGCTCTCTAGGCGCACACATCCTGCACCAACTCCTATCCAGCCCCTACATCTCGAAGATCCACCTCCTCGTCCGCGGCGCCACACGCACACCTCGCGCGAACGTGTCTTGAAAGCTCTCACTTCGCGTGGTCTTCCTGCCCCGCTGTGCTTCGATTCCAAAACACAAATTCACAGCTGCAGACTTTCGGACACCAAGCTCGGTTTGTCCGAAAAGGCATGTGAGCAGTTGGCAGAGGAGGTGGATGTGATAATCCATCTAGCCTGGAGCGTGAACTTCGTCTTACCCCTGCGAGCTTTTGCGACGACCCACCTCGCCGGCGCAAGAAATCTGATTAACCTCGCTCTCGCCTCGTCAAAAGGGAAAGCGGCGCCGAGATTCATATTCTGCTCGAGCGTGGCGGCCGTCTCAACGTACTCTTCGAGGTCTCCTCCAGCAACAATACCCGAAAGAGTCCTCTCCGATCCGGCTGTCGCCGGCTCGACGGGCTACGCTCGTTCGAAATGGGTCGGCGAACAGATCTGCCAACGTGCCGCTCAGCAAATACCACAGCTGAGGAACCGCATCTCCGTCGCTCGGGTAGGACAGTTGTCCGGGGCAAGTGACACGGGAGTGTGGAGTCGCAGCGAAGCATACCCCCTGATGCTGAATAGCCTCAGGGTGACGGGGTGTTTGCCAGATCTGGACGGCGCGAAGAGGGACAGAGACGAGAAGGGAGGGGAGATACTGGATTGGTTACCGGTTGATGTCGCTGCGAAGGTGTTTGTGCAGGATATCGCCCATCAGAATGCCCCCCCAACATCGCTTCAAGCACAACCAAGCGCCAAGGACGTCATGACGGACGCAGAGAGAGAGGTTGCGCGAGCCGAAGACGGACTCACGGTCCATGATATCCTCAACCCATGCACCAGGACCACCTGGTCCGACCTGCTAGCCTGGCTCTTGCGGGAGCAAGCCTTCGAAACCGTCCCCGCCGCCGAATGGATCTCGCGCCTCTCATCCTTACAGGAGAGCAACGACGTGGAAAAGCACAACCATCCCGCCCCGAGGCTGCTGGGATTCTGGGACAAGGTGTTTGGTGCCTCGAGACCGACATTGAGAGCTGCGGAGGGAGGAGCAGCAAAGCCCTGGGTTCCAAGACCAGAAGCAAAAGAGGCAAAAGGTGAAGAAGAAGTCCGACGACCCACAGCATCGCGGTACGAAATGGCAAAGACGTACGAGCGTATGCCCCTGCTGAGGGACTTGGAAAGGGTGGTGAACGCGGAGTACGTTTCGAGGCTGTGGCGATGGATCAGGCACAATGCCTGACTGGCTTTCCTTAGGGAGAACATCCCTTACTCCCTGGTGAGCATGGAGGCTTGAGCATGACACAAGAAACAGATATCACACATCCCTTGATCACACACCTTCGGACTGCGATCGAAAATGGAGCAAAATAGATCAGCAATTAATCCTGGGCGCATCTAACCATCATAGTCGCTTTTCTTCTGTCTTGTAAACATTTCATGATGCCATGAAGCATAATCTCGTCTCTACGTTTATTGTGTACACTCCGGCAGTTCAGCCTCGTAAACTCACACGTGCTGCTGCCTAGTTCCCCATACGAGTTTTCCATCGCCTTTGAGCAACGATCCCTTCTTGCGGCTCTGCAACAACTCATGCCTCGCCATGCTCCCTCTGCCCCCGGCTGTCACAATGTTGGCTGACCGGCTGCCGACGTCATAATGGACAACTATGTAGACCACTTGACACTGGCGCGACGTTTGCTGCCTTTGTGCATGCTGCCGAAACATCCTAGCCACATTGTGGATATTGTTCCTGCGCTTCCTTCGGGTTATAGCCGGCAGGTGATTTGGCGGAAGTGGCCTGGTAGGATGTAGAGGAAAAGATGCATAGTTGTTAGGCGTCATCACAACTCAGGCATGAAAAATTTTGGAAGCCCTCTCCACGGATCTACCGGATAAACATCCCCTCGGCTCTTCCCCAAAAGTTGCGTGCCTTGTTGACATGATCCAACCCGAGCATCTCATCTCCGTCTTGGATCAGATCGACAATGATATCGTCGTCTTCAATGTATCTCGGTTTTGCATAAAGCGTTCTCGAGACGAGTGCAAACTTGATTTGCTGCAACAGCTTGCCTTTGATCCCTGTTCGCTTACTGATTCGTTCTTTGGTCTCTTTGAGTGCTTCGCCTGGTTTGAGCATAAACTTGAATGGGACACCGTGAGGTTTGTTAGCTTCTTTGTCGAAGTGGTAGCAGTAGATGAATCGGTCATCCTCCGAGGCGTTCAGTTCTTCGTCTGGGATCTTCTCAGCATATAGCGTGGTGAATTCATTGACTCCAACCACGTTGAAATCCTCGATGAGTTCCTTGTGGATTTTGCCGCCATGTACTTCGAGGACCCGTAAGCTGCGAGCTGTCTGTTCGTCCAGGTTGAGCTTCTTGGCAATGCCGGCGATCAAATCTCCAATGATGCCGTTTTTTGCGACGAGTATCTCTAATGGTTCCTGCCCCACATTAGATTGATGATTCACATTCAGCGGATAGAACTCTACCTCTTTGCTGATGCCGTCACTTAGCCAGATCACTTTCATGATCTTTTTTGTCTCGTAGTCGGCAAGACTTGTTTCCAGAACCTCGTAATACAATGCGTCGCCGCGATGAGTGGCATATCCACCGTAGGAGGAAAACTGTGACTGTAGAATTTGTTGGAGGTTATGGTTCATCCCGCGTTTAATCCACATTTTGATCTTGTTGTTGGTAGCGCTGATCGTGGCGAATCGAATGTGAGTTGGGTCAACCTTGAGGTGCTCGCCGACCTTAGCGGAAAGTTGATCATAGGTCATCTTCTTGCTGAGGCTGAGCACGAAGGCATCTCCTTCAGTGCCGGGTTTCGGATAAAAGCTGACCGGTATTCGGTTCAACAGGTAATCATAGTATTGTCGAGCATCGGTATATGTTGCAGTAGACAGATCAAGATCGGGGAGGTTCTGTTGAAAGCAGATGATGTCGCCGTCTTGAATTTCGGATTGTTGGAAGGTTTGTTTCGGCTTCATAGCCTCAATCATTGAGAATTTGATCTCTTCAAACAGCAGAATTGGCGTAGTTGGATCCCAATGCATGATTCGATTGATTTGAGGCGCGATTTCTTGCACTTTGTCCAGTTTCTTGACATAGACATGGCCAACGCCAGTCAGAGTCTGAGCCTTGACGTCGAAATATTTGAGGAAAACTAGGATTGGGACGTTGCCGCCCACGGCTTGTGCGAGATCTGGCCATTGGATTTTGCCGTCGTCCCCTTTGGTTCCATTTTCAGCCCACAGATAGAATGGCCTACCTCTTGACCCGTACTTATTCATTGCTTCTTCCATGGTTATTTCGACATCACGAATGGGTTGATCGGGGCGATTTGTTTTATTTTGTCGACCCACCATGACCCAAAACCGAATTTGATCAGACTCCAATCCAAGCTCGCCGGCAATGGTAGCGGCGAATTCGGTGATTTTGGTTGTGCGGAGGACACGGTGGACTTGGGCACTGGCTGGATCTGATTGCTCAAGCTCATAACTCGTCAAGTCGAACCCGTGATGCGCCTGGAAACTCTTCTCCGTAATCACGCCAACATTCATGTAGAGGTGAGCCTCCTCACGCTCCTTCTTTTTTCTGGCAAGTTCCGCTTGCTCCTCGGCAATTCTGGTTTCGATGTGTGCAGGGATATCAGACTCGCTCACACTAAGGAGGACGTCGTCAAGTCTGCTCTTCCGAATATATACCAACATATACGCGTTCATGGACCGCTTAGTAGAGTAGCCTCGCATGTACGGTTGACGTTGTCCGAGGCCACCATTGGCCACGTTGGCGTATTCTCCTCCAAAGTTTTCTTCCAGTACTTCTTTCATGGTTGATCGCGTGACTCGGTCGTCGTCGAATTTGTAAAAGTGACCATCTTTGGTGGGCTTAAGAAAAGCGTAATAGTGACCTGCATTGAAATCGCCGCTGTGGACTAGCACGCCGTGTAATTGGTATATCCACGGTTCGGTCGAAGCAGCTTTAGCTTCCTCTGATAGATAGAGAGATGCGTCAAATTCTTCGGGAAACTCGTGCCTGTCGTTGACCTTCATCATCGCATCGCGGTTGATATCATATTCGAATCTCTTCAGCTGCAGGTGAAGAACAGGCGGAAAGGATTCGAAGATGACGCCCTTGCGGGCGTCTTGCAGCTTGTAAGGTTCACCAGCGTCATACTTGTTTTCGCCCTCCAGCGTCTCGACTTGGATATAGTCCATGAAGCTCTCATGCAGGTTTTTGTTGCCCCTGACATTGAGTTGGATGTCCCAGAATTCCTCTATCCTCGAGGACTCGAAGTCGACGTTTATGCATGAAATGTAAGTCTTGGTTTTTCCGACGAAAAGTTCTGGCAAAGTTCGTTCTGCAGGTGTGCCCTTCATCTTCTTCTCCAAGACCTCCATCAATATTCGCGACAGTTCTTGAACGTCTTGCTGCTCGAAAATTTGCCGGGTGTCCCAACCAAACGACGCAGTTAACTCGTTCGTCGAGACTGCGAATCTATCTTTTTGCAGCCTATAGAACAACCGCTGAAGTGTCCAAGCACTGTTACTCCGGTTCGCTTCCTGCTCGGTGGGGATCTGGTAGACGGCCTTGCGGAACAAGTTTGTGAAATAGAGGGATTGGAGAAGGGAGTTCAAATAGCAGGTTGCACCTTGATTCTTTAAACCGACCATGCCCGTCTCCTTCTTTGAGTCGTACCCTTCAAAATTATGCCATAGGACACCAGTAGGGTCTTTGATGATGCGGACATAGGCTGTCAGTTTAGCTTCGTCATTCTCCACCAAGTGACGCGACCCATCTTCCCACGGTTGATGAAAGGCCTTCCTGAGTTCCACAAACCTTGTAAAGCCCCAGTCGCCTTCTTTTGCGTTGAACCTGTGAGTGGCGGTATGGGTTCGGTACAGGGTTGGATCGTTCGGATTCCACAGGACCAGGGCAAACTGAACGCAGGCGTACCAATCCGGCGGTGGGTCGCCCTCGAACCCGTGTTCTAGGTAGAAGGAGGCACAGTCAACCTGGTTCCCGTACGGGAAGAAGAGCACTCTCCAGGGATGGCCGCCACATTCAAATATTGGCCCATGCTCTCGCCGGGAAAGCGTCCGCCATTTTTCTATGTGCCAGGTATGATATGCTTCGGCTTCCACTTCGGCATCGGGGAGGTCGACAAGGACATGGCGTTTCATCGTCTCGACTGCGATATTGGTCAGTTGCGGGCAAGCGGAGAGAGAGTGGAAGGGCAAGCTGTCGGGTGAACATACAGTCATCAGCCCGGGGAAGAGCTTCTGCAGGTTCCTCTGAAGCATCGTCAGGAGAGATGTTGACAACCTCGTTCTCCTGTTGGTGGTACTGGTCGTAGCCATCAATCAGCATGTCCGGCCCTGCCAACTGCAAGTCATCGAACCGCGCGGCGAGGTCAGTATCCATGGCTGGTGAAAGATATACTGGTGCGGAAAGGAGGGTAGAGGCAACCTACGTTGTCCATGCTGAGGAGAATCTAGAGACGAAGGTGGTTTTAGGTGAGTGGAAGAGCAGGCGAGGACGGGAGGCGGCAGCTCTTTCCTCAGGTTTCCGCAGTCAACGCTGCAAAACGGCGAGATGTGTGTCGGTGGTGCAGGCAGGCTCGTCAGCAAAACAAGGGCAACCTTGCCACCTGCACGTGAGCCTGGAATCTAGATTGAGCGGCAGGGCCGATGAACGGCTGTGTGCTAGAAGAGTCGCGCGGGTAATTACCTGGGGTAGAAATGAAGATGGGACGAGTATCCAAGGGCCAAATCATTCTCAGTCGATGGTCTACAGGCTTCCAGAATAGACGTCAAATTGTTGTCTAGGCCGCACAAGCTTTTGAATGACGAATGGAGACTGCGCTCGCTGCCAAACGCCCACTCTCCGTAGCGTGAGTGACACCCATCGAAAAAGCACCTGTCATCGACATACCTACCTAACTAGGCTTTATCCCGCTAAGCAATAGTAACCAAAATTCCTCCACTGGCACGACCTAGGCGTCCCTCCCGGGGTGACTATGCCTAAACCGCCTAAACCGCAGGAATGCAGTCATGGCAAGGAAATTCCAATGCCAATCCCTCCCATTTTGCTCTTGGTATGACTCCATGCCCCTCTCCAACGACCAGAACTTTCACCGCGACTCTTTACACAACCTTCACTGCCCATGCACTTCCTCAGACGACGGTGACGGTGGCGAGATGATCGTCAATTGTCTATATGACTCGTCGGGCCTGTCGTTTGGTATGAAATGCTCCAGGTCGCTCAGTTCTCGAGGCCCCGAGCCTTGCTCCTAAACTTCTTCAGCCTTTGTGCGCAGTCCTGCAGATGGACGTCTTCTCAAGCAGGGAGAAATCCGCCTCCATGGCGGCCAGCTTCGACTTTGGATGAGTATGAGACTGGTCTCGCCGTCTCTTGTTTTGGTCATTTGCTAACAGCCATGCCGCAGTTGGGTCGACCGCCCAATTCGCCCCATCAGTCTGCGCCAGCTCTTCTTTTTTGGTCGGACTTTGACTGAAAGTCGCTTACTGAGCTCTGCCAACTATGTCCGTATGGAACTGCCTACAAGGTTCGTCTCCAGCCTGCAAAGCGTGCATGCAACCGCTCACCTGGTCCCAGACTTGCTCATCGCCTGCGAGACATGCAGCGTTTGCCCTATGTGGTGGTCACCAATCCGCACCTGTCATTTGTCTACGAGCTCTACTACAAGTCCTTTGAGAGTTTTCGCCGTGTCCCTGTCATCAGAACTGTGGAAGAAAATGATGCGTTTTGCAAAGTCATTGGTGACAACTTGAAGGAACATCTGGCGGTGATTCCCAATCTGGTCATGGGAGTGCTCGAGTGCCAAGACTTGGTTTCAGTGGACACAATGGACAATTTCGTGCAGGCCATGCTGCGAGCTCGAATCTCGAGACGAGTCATTGCCGAACAACACCTTGCCCTCACGGAAACGTTCAACTCGCCTTGGCACGTGCCCCAACCCAGCTCTGAGAACGAGTTTGTGGGCGAGGTTCTGCTCCGATGCAACGCGAAGGAGGTTATTGAACGTTGTGGCCGCTTCACCCAAGAGATTTGCAGATCGACCGCAGGCGCTGACCCAATGGTACCAGAGATTCGAATCCAGGGTCATACAGGGGCTACATTTCCTTACGTGTTGAGTCATCTTGAATACATTGTCGGCGAGTTGTTGCGGAATTCCATACAGGCGGTCATGGAGAAGTACCGGGATCCTCGAGAACCACCACCACCCATTGACGTCCTGATCTGCGAGGCACCCCAGAACGTGGTCATCCGCATCTCTGACCAGGGCGGAGGCATACCCCGAGACATCATGCCCTTTTTGTGGTCCTTTAACAAAGGCCCCAGAAGCGCTTCACGGCTACAAAACTTCAGGGACGTGCCAACCCTTGCAGCCACCATGCAGGAAGTGCGATTGCATGCGAGCGACAAGCCCAGCGGGAAAATCAGAGACACTTCCCTCAGCACATTGGCCACAAGGCCACCTGATCTCAGGTTGGGCATGGGTTTGCCGATGAGTCGTGTATACGCTGAATATTGGGCGGGCAAGCTCGAGTTGCATAGTCTCGAGGGTTATGGGGTGGACGCATTCCTGCAAATCTCGAAATTGGGAAACCAGAACGAACAGCTTACATCGCGCGCCACCATTGACGCCGTCTGAGCAGGGAGGCCTCAGAGAGGGGGGAAAGATGACCAGTCCAAATCTGACCTCGATGATCATTTCGCCGTACCCGTAACCAAGCAGAAATGAAGAGGCAGTCCTCGGATATTCCGCGAGTAGATGTTGAGAAGGGTTCTTCGCCTACAGATTACTGAAATCAGTCCACACAGTCACTGTAGGTAATGATTCATACAACGGCACCAGACACAAGGACTTCGATCAGACATTGCCAATTATCCTCCTGCTCTGCCAGCAATCGCGTAGAGATGGCTCGTACCTTGCGGCTGAGCTCTCGGCTTACCAGAGCTGCTTGCTTCTTCACGGGCGTCTCAAAGAAACGGGGTCTTCAATAAGGGAAGAATGTCACCCACATTCTTGCATGTCTGACTTGTGGTGTTACTGTCCGCTATTCCAGGTCATCACCGCATCATGGGAAGCCACAGAGGCCCTCGTGATGATGGTTTTAAGATGCGGATTCTCGTGAGAGATTGATCTCGACACACTCATCGGAAACCACCAGCTTCATGGTGTCGAGGGTAGTAGCTGACGTTGATGTGAATTGGGTGTCTAGAGAGAAGAAAGAAAGAAAAATTCAAGGCACGATTTTTCTCCACGGGCAGGGAAAGAGAAGAGTCGTGCCTGGAAAACACGCCTAGGGCCAAAGCGGCTAGCGGGAGCTGGGGGAAGATGGCGCAAACGGCTCATCGATTGGCGGGCTGCAGGGACGTCGAGGCCTCTAGTCGCTGGTGGCCGCCCAGACCAACTGAAATGCAAGCAACTGCGCTGCGAAGTCCAATCCAAACTGCGCTTCAAACCTTCTGATTTTGTATTCCGTGCTCCTTTGTGTCCGCAACATCTTCAAGAACGACTCCCAAAACCACTCCCGTTGATCATCCCCGGAGCCCATTTCCTCCTTGTGTCTATTACCATTATCGTGATCGCGAACTGCCCGCTCAACCACTCCTGACCTCTCTCGCTCGCGCCCGCCACCGTCGACCTTCCCTCCCTCCTCCGCCAGCCGTCTCGAAAAGCCCCAACAATCACTCGTCTCTCGGCTCTTTACGTCTCCGTTGACCAGTGCTTTAGTTGACGTCGACTGGGTGTGATCCCACTGACAGACCTCCCTGCCGCCTTACCTGATCCTCTCATGGAAAACGCAAATTTATGGACCAGACGCTCCAAGTGAGTCTTTCCACTATTCTACAATGGGATCGCGAGAATACCAATACACTAACCATCCCCACAGCACTGGCAAACTATCGTTGTCTATGAGAGATCAGGAGGGCAAGGATGTCAGCAAGATAGATTCCCCTCGATCCCACAGCAGCAGACGTTTCGGCGACACTTCGTCCCACGGCAAATCTAATCCCTTCAACGCCCTTTCCCCCTCCGCTACAAAAACCCCGTCAGCGAGCGCATCTTCAGCTTTCGGACTGGGTAGCGGGGCGTTTGCTTCCTTTGGTTCAGCAAAGACTCCAAAGACCCCTGGCGCCGGGTCAGCCTTTGATTTCTCGTCACGTGAGAAACCCGAGAAGAAAGAAAGGGACCCAGATACACCCGGAGAGACCTCAGAAGCAGAACCGTTACAAGAATCTCCAGGGTCACCTAAAACATCCTCGGAGCATCCTCTACGAAACACTTGGAATCTCTTCTACCGCCCTCCTGCCAATAAGTTCTCCGACTACGAGAAGTCTACACTGAAGCTAGCATCCATCAGCTCAGTGGAAAATTTCTGGACAATATACTCTCACCTCAAGCGGCCGTCTCTGCTACCTACTGTCTCCGACTACCATATCTTCAAGGACGGCATTCGTCCGGTCTGGGAGGACGAGGCTAACAAGAAAGGCGGCAAGTGGATCGTGAGATTAAAGAAAGGCGTGGCAGACCGATACTGGGAGGATCTACTACTGGCAATCATCGGGGACCAATTCATGGAGGCAGGAGAGGAGGTTTGTGGTGCAGTTCTCAGTGTCAGAAGCGGCGAGGACGTTCTGAGTGTATGGACCAAGATTGATGGTGGTCGGAACATCAAAATTAGGTATGGAGAGAGGACGGGTTCAAAGTTTATGGTGCTAACCATAAGACAGGGAGACCATTAAACGAATACTGGCATTCCCTCCGGACACTAACATTGTGTGGAAAAGCCACGACGACAGCATTGCGCAACGATCAGCTCTGGATGAAGCCAGACAGCAGAAGGTCAGTGGCGCTCCAGGTCATCCTGGAGCAGAGAGGCGACGTCCAACCATACACGAAGACTCTGAAAAGACTAAAGGCAAAGGGATATCATGATACTTGCTCGGAGATGGCTTGGGATGAGACGATCCCTCTTGTAGCATTATAGCATCAACGATTGGCTTTTATATTCCAGGATAGGATAGCTCGATTCTCCCATGGAATTCCAGCTGACTGCGGGTTGGTGCATCCAACAAACATTGTTTTGGGTCGTGCCTGTGTACTTTTTGTGTGAAGTGTAGCCGTTTGAGCCATGTAGCCTTGTCTTGTGCGTCTGTGTGTTGGGTTGCGGGGAAATAATCGGATTTGGCTCTTTTTTATAGGACTGCGCTCCGCAGTCACAGCAAGTGCACTTCACCCTGCCTCAGATCGATACCGCACCCATCCCCTTTGAACAACTACCTGGTGATGTGGTCTCGCGAAGGACGCATGGGTGGCCGCGTAACAAATGACAGTCCCCTGGCGCGAGGTCGTGCGTAGCACATTACAAAATCTTAGCCGGGATGGTCTCAGTTCAGCACTCAAAGCAGACAAAGGGCAGAGGGACCTAGACGACAATCCAAATACCGCATCTCTAGTCCCTCCACCTTCAAATGCCTCTCCATCGCAGTCACAGGGGGGACTAATATCCCGAACCTCTCCAAGATCACTCACTAAGGCCGTAGGAGTCTTCCTTGGTATGCACGACAATGCCGCATGCGCCCCGATCCATGTAAGTCACCTAGCTTCATGCTCAACCCTAGAGGGGCTAACAATGTTTTCACACATAGATTGATGGTGACGACGAAGTTGCGACAACGGACGAGAAAAGGCTGACGGCAAAGTCTGGTCTCCCTTCAACCCAGTATGCCTCCAAATTCCCAGGAAAAGCAAGGCCATGGACTGAGCAGTTCACTTCCAGGTCTAGTGGCCCAACTCTAGGACAGAGTACTCCGTGGTCGGAGCCAAGAGTCGAGGCCAGGATTAAGGGAGGATTGGTGTATGTCCCAAGCGCATATCAAAGGAACAGACTGCTGAAAATATCGCGTAGTAGGCGGGACCCCGGTGCTGTACGAATCGACGATTCAATGAGGAAGCCTTTCAAAGTACGCCATCCTTCCCTTCAAGCTTGGGGCCTCTGACAATAGATCCAGACTCCCACGGGGTCTTACCGACCATATGATACCTTGACAGCAAGATCGGATTTTCTTCAGCAGAGGACATCTCGGGCTCGTGCCACGGTAAACACCCCCAGTACGAAGTTGCTTGCTAAGGACGACGTGCATGCCAATGACCACAGTACACCAAATAAGAAGCGCAAGATCGGAGGCGGGCGAGGGTTCGGAAGTTCTGCTGCCTCGACCATCCCTCTCCAGGACAGTCAGAATCTGAATGACTCTGAAGATGAACTTGGACTGAACTCGAAGCCTGCTGATGGCAAGTGGTGTGGAAAGATCCAGCAACCCAGTAACTTGAATGATACGGAAGGAAATTGCGTGCGCCCACTAGGAAGTCGAAATAATGCCCACCATGCCCAGATCAATCAGATCGACCGCTCGTCGCCCGAGGACGAATTCGCTTTCGCTAAAGGCTCCGCACAGCAAAGGAGAGCCGAGAAGGATAAAATCCTCGAAAGCCCTTCAGATTCCCCGAAGCAGGCTTCGGCTCAGCCTCGCACCTCGCCATACTTTACGTTACCACGGACCAGGACCACAGAGAGCAGCGGGAAGAAGCACAATCGAAGATGGGATTCAACATCAGAGAGCCCGGATGCTTTGCAGAGTGCTGAGACTCTATCTACTCGGGCCCAACGAGTGCTGGGCAGTGCAGCTTATCCTAATATGAAAACCAAGGACCTCGGATACCTGATTTTAGGGAGCAACTCCAGTACTGTGATTGACAAGCAGTCGAGCGCGCATGTGAAGAAACCAGTCAACACGAAGACAACCTTTGCTCTGGAAGAACTTGTGTATAGAGGTCTGCTCGATACTTCAGGCTACATAATTGAGCTCGACAGGTCGACGAGGGAGGTGGCAATCAATATGAAAGATCCGTTGTTGGGCGACGAACCTCTTTCCATGCCCCGTGGCTTCAACCAAATTCGCAAGCTCGAACTTGGAGACAATCAGTCTTCCCTAGTGACGCTCCACTTTTCTCGAACCGTCATGGCGTCAGAAAAGATGTATCTCAGATTGGCATCTCACGAAGCAGCTGTCGACTTCGTTAACTTTCTGCAGGACACACAGAAGAAACTGAAAGTGAAGACCAAGGACGAGTAAGTATTTTGCACTTGTAAAACTGAGGTCTGTCTGACTTTGTCTAGTCACTGGATGGAGCTGGCCTTTGAAAAAGCCAAAAGTGGAGTTTCCGAACACAAAGAGGGAGCATTGATAAAGATTCATCGAACGATGGAATCATCTACCGAGAAATCAGAACCTTCGAATACAACAGGACCAGGCATCAGCAAGAAACGTGTTCGACTCGTCGACGCATTGGATGCACCAGTTGAGGCCCCACAACATTCTACCGTAACACCGGCCGCAGGTCGAAGGATGGCTGAGCCCAAAATGGACGCGACACTACAGTTGGCCCAAGATAGTGCATCTCCTGAGGAATCGACCCATCCCTTAGTTCTGCCACAAGAAGTTAGCCACCCACGAGCTGATAAGGAACAGTCCGGCGGTGGACAGAAACAGAACGAATCCTCACCAGAGCCAAAGGCATCTCCAACTGGAACTCTAGTCAGACGTTGGACTAAGGACCTCGTCTACCCGCAACCCGGGCGGAGAGCTGCAGTAGTCCCATTCGAAGATCTAAGACGACTCAATGATGATGAATTTCTGAACGATAATCTGATTTCATTTTTCATGAGGTATCTGGAAACCCACATGGAGAAGAGCAAACCCGAACTCCACAAGAGGATCCATTTCTTCAACACCTATTTCTACGAGGCTCTGTCCAAGACAAAGGGTAGGAAGAGCGGCATCAATTATGATGCTGTCAGTCGATGGACCAAAAATATCAACCTCTTCAGCCGCGACTTTATAGTTGTGCCGGTCAACGAGAATTTTCACTGGTATCTCGCCATAATCTGTAACCTGCCATACTTTCTCGGAGACCGGAAAGCAAAGACCGGATGGTCCGAGGAACTGCAATCGAGCGACCAACAGAGTGAGGAGGGAGAGCGCAGGGTTGAACTGCCGACCGACGAGACCCAGAGAACACTGGCCGACCTGTCACTCAGTGATGACGAGGAAAACAGTCAAGATCGAACCACGAGAAGACCTGGCCGACGGAAATTGGCTCGCAGATCACTGCCAAAGTATGAGGTAACCAAACCTGTCATTATCACGTTGGATTCTCTCGGGCTCTCACGAGCAGCGACATGTGCACTGCTCAAACAATATGTAGTATTGGAGGCCCGGGACAAGCGAAATATGAACATTGACGTGAGTGAACTAAGGGGAATGACGGCCAAGGAAATCCCTACTCAGAACAACTTCAGTGACTGTGGGCTTTATCTGTGCGTGTACCTGGAACAATTTGTCGCTGACCCCTACAATTTTATCCGCCGAATCCTTCAGCGGGAAGGGAATGCACAACAATGGCCGCGCAGAATTCACAGCGAGGACCTAAGGTCAAGACTGCTCGAACTGATCTTGGAAATGCATCGGCGGCAAGAAAAGCAAACCTCGGAGATGGAGGAGCCGTCCATTGGAAGCATCTTGATCGATAAACGAGAGATATCTCGCTCGCCGTCGCTAACTCAAGGGTCACTCACAAGGCAAGACATTCAAGAAGCGCAGAAGAGGTTCGAAGGCGTTGTGCGCAGCCATCCGTCAGGGTCGGGAGAGGATTTTGAGCATGCATCTCCAGATGCTGAGGTGAGAACTATGAAGAGAAAGAATACTGTGGCGGAGAGTTCAAAGACCCAAGACTCTGTGAACGAGGACGGGAATGGCGGCTCCTACGAACAGATGTCACCAGCACCAGCTGTACCTACGTGGGACACCAGATTTCCCCGGAAGCCACGCCCCGAACCCTCCCGTCTGCAGGCACAAGTCCGTGCAACTCCTCCACCACGAGATGTTCGCCCTGCACTAAACAAGAATTCCGTCTCACCTATGACGCTCATGAAACAGGCAACAGAAATAGACCCCGAAAATACTGGACCCCACTCGAACAAAAGACAGAAGCTAAAAGACGAAGACAACTTTGACGTAAGGCAAAGGTCGAGATCGCCGAGTCGAACAAGTGAGTTGACAGATTACCTTTCCGGGGCCGCGGGAGTCAGAACTTATCTCTATGGGATAGAGCAGTATGCTGCACGGGACGAGAACAGAGAGTGGACGAGTCCTAGTCCTGAACCAGAAGTCATCGCTGAGAGGAAAGTTGTTCCCAACAAAGAAACATCCCTTCTAGGCAAACGGAAGAAGCCAGGTGCGAAAGCGACAGCTCCCAACACTGCATCCGAGTACAAGGAATTTGTCGGGTTGGAGTCGAGGCGGGGAACGCCATTCTCGACTGCCTCCGGGGAGGCCGGGGCCGGTCGCGCACGTGCGAGAATGGGAAGGTATGATGGCGGCGAGGATGGCGAGATGCTCCTCAAGATGTGAGACGGCAGACATCGGAGAAATATGAGCAATATGGGAGACTATCCTGATCATGGCTCCTGGGTTCTAATGCTGTTTGGGGATGCACCTCGCTGCTGCACTGGTTGCAACTAGCTATCAATGCCATGCGCTCAGTCTGAGAGACAATTGAACGATTATGAAGGGATATTTTTACATGTAACGGCACACCATGACAGCCAACACGGCTTTTCTAGGTGTTTGATTGTGTGATTCCTATCTTCGTTTGTGTTCGTAGTTCGCAGCGGCATGGATATGTGAAGCACGGCCCCCTGGCAGACAAGACAGCCTAGCCCAGTACGTGTCAAAGTGTCTTGCTGAAACAGCGCATGGTGATGCTGATGATGGTGAAGTTCTTCCGTAGTAGAGGCCAGAGCCCCGAGCCTTGTCGACAGTGTCCTGTGCTGTGACCTTGCGCGTTAGAAGGCACGCCTTACTTGTATTGGCCGGCGAGGCAGGACCGCCAAAGCAGATCAGCGGGCACGGCAAAATGGGATTCGCAAACGATGTGGAAATCCACCCTCATCACAATGTAAGAGAATTACCGTGATAGGCACGCAAACACGGTGCGTTGCCAACATGCCTGAGGCTTCGCAAGGCTTCGATAACCCTGATTGAGCTGCTCCCGGTCCAAGTGTGGAGCGCTCTGTCACCTGTACTAAAGGGCCGGATCCCGTCGGTGGAGCAACAGGCACTTCTAGCTCTAACACCGTACTTGACCCTATTAACCGCAAATGAATCATGCCCTAAATAGGCCGGTTCTCATGCGGTGCCATCCGTCGGGATCAAGATTCCTACCGAGCTATGATCTTTCACCTCGCGTTCTTTTCTCCTCTCCAGGGAACGCTGGTGGTGAGCTATGATGCCGGTTCTCCTGGATGAAGAGTGACTAGTGTAATGGGAGAAGTTTGAAGTGGTGGATAGCGTTATGATTGGCTGGGGCGCCTACCCTAGACTATGGTTCTTCTTATATAGTCCTGGGGGACTATCCTTCATAGAATGGAGAATCAACCAAGTTACCAACAGAGAGGACTTCCCCTAGTGGAGTGTGCGCGTTGGGAAGAGGCTATGCCCACCGCCGTACGAGTTGATACCCATGGCTAGTAGCCTCGCCCCAGTTCACTAGTTTGCAATAGGATGAAGAACCACGCTTCATACAATACAACATACCCGGTGAGACACAGCAGTCCTGCCGCTGCCCGCAGCTGCACTATACAGGCCTGTGGACAGGCCGATACCACACATACCCTTGTGGTGAAACAAAGTCCACCGCCCCACCATCTTTCTGCACCAACATAAGGGAGAAATTCGCCACATCAGACTTCTTCCTAAGGCTGTCAAATTCATCGTCTGTCAGCCGATATCTCAAGGCGGCAGAGAGGAATTTGATTGTGGATCTGTGCTTCGACACGATGTAGAATCCGACACCCACGCGGAGAAAGACGCAAAGCGAACCAAAAATGACAACGACCATACCGACCCTAAATGTGTGCGATGAGTGGCCGTATGCCCAGACTCGGAGCCTTCGCGACACAGCTAGGCGCGGATACAACGCATCGTCTCCGGCAGAAGCGTCAGTAGCATTCAGCGTTGTGAAGTCCACTAACGTTAGGGCATGCAGCAATGACCCCGCGTGTAGGTTAGAGATTGCAACTAATCCAGGGTCTTCACCGAATGTCTGAGGCGTTTGTGTGGAGGCAGCTTTTTGCAGTGCGCCGACGAGATTCGATGCTGCCGCACTGTTGCCGTCGACCGTACCAAATCGGGGCACTGCCCAGGCTGCAAGGAGCCAGTCGGGATGAAGGGCGGTGGGTTGCTGCTTCTCAACTAGGTCACCAGCTGGCGAAATCAGACTGACCAGACCGAGCGAATTTGTCTCGGGAGAGATGTCAATACTGTACCAAACGGTGGCGAGATAAGTATTGCTGTAGCATATGAGCGTGGCATTGGGGCCTCCTGGCTGTGACAAGATATACTCGATGTATTGTTGTTGACCTGCCAGGTTGATTGTGGCACTGGGGGAATTTCCAGAAAACAGGAGATCCCAGTCGCAAGGTTGAGTGCCTTCACTCTGGAAGACACATGAGAAAGATTCCTCCCCAAGGAGTATGCTCTCGGTCTCCGCGTAGGCGCCGACTGAAACATTTGTCTTTGGCGTGCTGGCGATGTCTCCGATAAGGAAATGGGAGTTCGCCAGGCTGGCATTGTTCCACCCGAGACCAACGCGGATACATTGGTATCCGTTGTAGACTCCATCAATAGACCAGTTGAAATAATAGCAGCGCACAGATTTCGCCTCCGAGACAACGATTTCTGTGGCATTTCCCCTAGCGCAGCGCGATACCATTGTTCCGAGGCTGGGTCCTTGGCGTGACAGCGAGACGTCCAGCACATTCCTGTAGGAATTGTAGAGATCTTCGTCGAGATTTCGGTTCCATGCTGCGGCAATAGACCTCGCTTCTTCATACGTTCTATTGACAACCTGGGTTGCTTGGAACTCAACATAGTCATTAGACATTTCTCGTATGACCTGGCGGTTCGGTGTCCATACAATCGACTCAGTAGACAAAATTGTATTGTTGAAGGCGAATGACAAGCCACTCTCGCGGAAGATACCGAGATTCACACCATAACCTTGCTCATACTCTTGAAGGCCGTATAATATGGCTGACGATAGGGCATCCAGTGTTGGTAGGTAGTAATCCGTACAAGTGTAATTGCCACTTGCTAGCGATGAAGCATCACAGCCGGGTGCAATTGCAGGATTGCTCGGAGGATCTGACGCCGCTATCTCCCTCAATCTTTCCGCACCGGGAACGGTACTCTCCGACCATCCTAACGTCGGGATCACCAGTACAGCGGTAGCGGGGCCCATGAGGTTGCAGGTGATGCACAAAAGGGCTACCAAGACTGCAAACAAGGCAAGATTTCCCCTCCTCCGGCGACTGAAGAGGCCGGACGACGTCCAGAATGTACGGTTGAAAATTGTCGATATGTCTCCAAATTCCACATGCGCCAAAAGGTACGCAATCGGAAGTCCTGTACCCTGCCGGCCCAGCAGCATTGTCAAGTCATAGATCAAGCTCGTGGCGACAATGCTGAACCAGACCTCGAGTACTTTGGCCACAAGTTGCAACGCGCCCAAGATTTCGTGGTCGCTTTGATCCAACTTGGCCGCCCTCGATGAGGTATCTGACCGGTTGATGCCCAAAAGGCCAATGTAACAGTCGTCTTTGCGCCATTTCAGGCGGCAACCAACGCCGGCACCGACAGTCCAGTTGTTGTAGTTCAGGACGAGGAGGATAGCGATAGGGACGACCCAGGCAAGACAGAAGAGGTCAAACAACCTTCTCGAGAGAACAGCGGATAGCTTGTACTGGCGATCAGATTCGTAGGCAGCGGCCTCGGTACCGGCTACCACTGGAGGGTTTGAGAAAAGCGGTCTGTTCATCTGTCCCAGGTCATATTGATCAGTGATTGCCCTCTTGGACATAGCTACAGATGCCATAACGGATGACAATTAGTTGTTCTGCAAGCACAGGTGACGACCGTGAAACTTCTTCAAAAGGAGACAAGGAAACATTCTCTAGGTACGAACATCCGCAGAAAAGTAACAGCCCGGGGATGGGTTGATAGAGAGCGGGCAACCGCTGGGAGAAGGGGTAAAAGCACTGGGATAACAGGATCAGCAGAGGTCAAACTATCCATCTTCTGAGCAGGGCAAGGTTGTGGTCGACGTATTCGGGGCCTCTGTGATAGGACATACGATGCAGTATGCCTTGAAGTGTTGCCTGTCGATGCTGGTTAGCCTGGCATCTATTCCGTCTTCAAAGGTGTCCAGAACAGACTTTCATGCATCTGGATAGGTCTTCCGTGCTAAGCAACGAGTCAAAGGTTATCTTGCCCTGAAGCTTTCTTGGATACGAGTTCTGGCCCCACGAACAGGATTGGGGGCCACGAAACACGAGCAACGCTATCTAGTCTCAGCGGTCGCAATTGAGATAGCCAGTAAACGCCGGCGATGTAACCGCTTGCCCCAACGGCTTTTACTGAGTTGATCCCTTTCAGACTTCTCCCAACTCCATAGCCACATCACAAAATCAAGCAGCATAGTGGCAGCATACAAGCAGTACACTCTTCCAGGCTCCAGCGCGAGGCGAGGACGCTGTAGTTGTTTAGCTTGGCATAGGTGTGTGGTCTACTATTATAAACAAATATGCGTCAATTTATAATCGTGGTATGAATGACTCAAAGAGCAATGCAAAACCAGTATGACTCTTCGGCCCCCCACAGCTGTACGCGACCGTAGGGCCCTCTCTACACGAGACATTACCGTCAAACTTGGTGCTGGTCGACTTTAGGAATGGCACGGAGATACATAGCAAGGCCCGTGATAAAGAATCGTTTAAGCACCACGACGACTCTGGGATGATACCTACTGCTCCTGGAAAGCGTTATATCCTTGAGATTCGAGAATACTTATCCTGGGCGAACCAGGTACCCTTGTTCGGTGATCCCCCCGGTTCATATCTCGTCAAGGATTTTCGCAATTCTGGGGCACACGGTTACACGGCGGCAGGGCATCGATATGTTGACGAGCGCCCTCTCTGCCTCAAAGAGCACATCAGACAGATTACATTATGTGGCTGTTGAGCAGCCTCGACCTCGGCCTCGTCGCTGGCCAAGCCGCTAGTCTAGCCTTGTGAGAGTCTCGATCAGCCTTGTTATTACTATGATAGTAGATGGAAGGAATAGACAGAGCGGGTCTCGCTAGATCTAGACCTATCTAGCTATTTAGGAGAGATCTTCTTACTACAGCACAATTTATATTGCAACGTAGCACTTCTGGGTTTGTCATGCACGTGCAACAACGCACAGGGGCCTGTCAGGAAGGTCGGAAATCGAGAATGCGTTTCTGGTCGGTGCTGGCAAGACAACACCACCGTCCGTCCACATATCAGGGGTCCCCACGGTTGCGTAAAAGTCTATGCTAGGTAGCGTTCCAGTGTTCCTTCGAACAGGTGGCATATAGTGGCTTCATGGACGAATTAAAAATTACCTAGTGTCTACCACAACGCTATTACTACACCATTATGTTCGTTACTTTTATATCAGTCTAGCCAGCACCGACCTTTTCCCAATCTACTGGCACACACAGTCTCTCCTTTATTTAGCCCTGAAGTAATACAAGATCGTGCGTTAAGCTGTGTCGTCTCTCGCAACAGAGAAAAGGAGGAAGAGGAGCGCCACAATGGCAAGGAATTGGCTGTAATAGCTCAATGACGAGCTAGTGTTATCTATTGGTTGGTGTGCTGTCTCTGTCGGAGGAGAAAAGAGGAGGGGGAGAGTGGGTAGAGAAGGCTAAATAGTCCTCGGTACACCTTCTATCCTCTCAGGCAAGTGGCATAAGCCTCGGCGAGGTACCTTCCCATCTAGCACATGCATGTGACAAGCGGAACAATATTATTAACAGCAACGATTTCCACTCGTGGATTAGTCTGGGGCGTGTTTTTCACACCTCGTTATTAACGTTCTTCGCTTCCTGGATTTTGTCCATCTTCTCCACCGTCGCCTCGATGCGATCCGTCATAAGCTTCTTGACGTCCTTCAAAAAGGCGACGGCGACAATGGCGAGCACGGTGAAGGGAATTATACTTGACCACGCCAGACGGTATGCGTGCGCATATGTCCAGTGGCCCGCACTCACTGCTTCGGCGAGAATAGGATCCGTGAGCCCCTCGATGGAGTTGAGAAGGGTTTTATTTCCGCTGCGGATGCCGGTGATGAGGTCTGGCACGGAGGAGGAGGGTAGACCAGCGTCGATGGCGGCGCCTCCAACGTCCCTGGCATAATGCGACGTTAGGTACCCGTTGATGATGGAGTTAAGGACTGCAGCGCCAAATGCGCCACCGATCGCACGGGAGGTGAACGCCAGACCAGTGGCGGTAGAAAGAAACGCGTGAGGAGCGGTAAATTGCACGGTGGCCACAATGAGCGTGAGCGGCCCGGACTGGCCGATGCCGCAGAGAACGTTGAAGACATATTGGACGTTGGCCCAGGAAGGGCGGATGTTTGCATAAAGAATGGTGACGATCAAAAACAGGGTGAAGGTCACCACAAGCGGCCACTTGAGGTCTTTGTAGCGTGTGGCATACCACCTGCGCAAGTGTCAAAAGCGAGTCAGGTCGGGAGGGGACAGGAAAGACATACGTAATTGGGATGGAGGTAACAAGGATCGGCACTTGATAAGACATCTGACGCACCGCAATGTCCCACGAGTTATTTTCGAAACCAAGATTAAGGACAAGTTGGGGCGTGATGGCGTTGACAGCGGAATAGTAGACCCATCTGGGGTTCCAGTTAGCTTCCTAGCTCATCCCACAATTGAGCCACAGCATCAGATGCTCACCCCTCGACAGCGAAGGCAAATATAGCCAAGGAAAAGTTGGGGCCACCCTTGAAAAAGACGTGGGCGATGATGCCGTCGTTGCGGCCCTTCCATTCTACTTCAAAGTCAGCATCGAAGGCCAGAAGAGCGGTAGGACATTAGACAGCGGGGAACACTTACCGTAAACGCAAAACAGAACCAAAACGACGCAGCCAACAGTCAGTGGGGCAACTACTTGGCCGCTGGCCCAAGGGTAACGGCTCCCACCCCAGTTGAGGGACAAGAGCATTAATGTAGTGCTGACAATGAAGAGACCAGAGCCGATAGGGTCGATAGCCCAGAACATCTGACGCATGGTCATTCGTGGGTAGTCGGACCGGCGCTGTGGCCAGTAGAAGACTAGGAACCCCAGAGCCGTTGTCAAGTGGAATGCAACCTGCATCCAGAAGATGTAGCGCCAACCCGAGGCTGAGATGTTGGTGACCGCACCCGCCCCGAGCTTACCCACGCTGTTACACGCTATCAGCTTATTTTGTAGTGGGTTAAGAGAGAAAACAGACGGAAAGAGGGCAATGGTCTACTCACAGGCTTCCTACAGCTCCTCCCACAAATGCCATGCCGTTAGCAAGAGGGCGGTACTTCATGGGCAGGACCTCGGAGGGAATGGACTGCACAATGGAAATGCAGGCGAGAGTGGTGCCAATTAGAATACCCCCGCCGATAAGCATAGACATGTCCTTCGATAAGGCGCAGACGACAGCTCCAGCGGCAGCGATGATGGGCGGGATGCTCACCATCCACTTGCGGTCTAGAACATCTGAGAGACGGCCGACAATTGGTGAGAGGACGCTCTGCATTAGCAAGGGGCCCTGTAGAAGTACGAGGTTAGATAGAATAGGATAAATTCGAAACACGTAAACACCATGTTGTCGACGAACCTGAATGATCCAAGTCGAATTGGGGGCGTCGCCTATGTCACGGACGATGAAGGCGATAACAGATGTGGCCGCGGCGACCACGAAGACTTGGGTCGTAATGCTAGCGAAATGTCAAAATGCCGGAAACATCAGTGAAAATGGCTGATACGAGCCTTGGTTGGGGGGACGTGAAAGGAGGAGTGGGGGGGTTCCATACGAGAAACAGGAGATGAAGACAACAACCCAAGTCTTCCAGGAGAGCTTCACTTTAACCGCTACCGGCGAAGGGATCTGGATTTGCTCGCTGGCAGTCTTCTCGCGATGTTGCGAGGTGTCTACCACCTCTACGGGCTCAACCCGAAACTCTTCGGACTTGCTGTCGGTGGTAGCCATTGTCAACACGAATGGGAGAATCTAGGAGTCCTGAAGCTTGCGAGGAGGCGGTGGACAACAGTGGTTATATATTCCGCCTACTGCATGCATCGGCAGTTGTATAGACGTTCAGCGGTCAACTGCCAAGAGTGCCATATTGGCCTCCTATCCGATGCCGCTTGCTTGGCACATAGACTCTAGCAGAGGAATGTCCCACAATTTTGGGGTAGGGGCCCTGGTTGTATAAAGCTGCAAAGAGTATGTTGGCCAGGGTTGGCTGAAAGGACCCCCGCATTTTCTTGGCCGAATACCCCGCATTTCGGCAGAAGAAGAATATATAAATAATACAGAGTTGATGTCAGGGTAGGAGATGCGAGAGATGGACAGTCAGTCACACGACAGGATCGGTAGCTGTCAGGACGGCCAGAACAAGAGCAGAGTGTGACGCCACAGCACGCCGAAAGGACAGAGAAACTTTGACAAGGTATGGATTACATATTCACAAGAATCTAAACTGAACTAAAGAAAAGAAGAAACGAGCAGTCAGTTATCGTGCTTCCTCCCTCCCACACTTGGTACTGTGCCTCGGACATAGTTAGATAGGAAGGTGCACCGAGGCGCGGCTTGGCATAGCGCCTCCGCTTAGTCTTCTCCACCCACTCTTCCCCTCTTCTTTTCTCTCAGAGACAGCCATCAACAAATAGATGGCTACACTAGCTCGTCATTGATTGAGCTATTACAGCCAACTCCTTGCCATTGCGCCGCTCCTCTTCCTCCTTTTCTCCTTTGCGAGACACGGCATACTCCCTCAGATAGTGCTGTTTACAGGACGGCGTTCTCGAATGCTGTCCGAGTCATAAATTCGCGGGGCTTACGGCCCACGTGGAGCATCTCGACCATTGTCCTGTCGGTCTCATAGGCACATTGCGCTCTTTCACGGTAAGTGGCTGGAATGCAAACCGAATTCCAGAGCATTCATCGTTGATGCTGTTCCCATAACGTTACAATGTCCCCCTGATGATGTCCTATTATTCAAAGAGTAGGAGGTTGAGGGGGAATTACCGGGAATTCACCCTGGCGTCACCATTCTTACCAGGTTCCCATTGTGATTTCACCTGCTGCATGCCTTTCTGTCTTTCCAGAATATCGTTCCCGAACCGATTCGCGCACTTGAGCCTTCTAGATGGGAATTCAACATCGGACCTATATTCGTACAGATAGTGGGGATAGTCTTCGACACAAGATCAGTGAGGAGGACTTATTTCAGCCTTGAATATTGGCTGACCATTGTGGAAGCGGCCATCAGAAAGGCCGGCGTCGTTTTATTGCGTCTGGTTAGCAGCACGACACCGTCCAGGGGATATCCATGAAGCAACTCCACGACGCCGAGATAGGCAAGATTTCTGTCCAAAGCCGTTGTCAGTCTCCTTGTGGCCTCTTGAGTAGGATGAGTTGGAAATTCAAAAAGCACGCCGCCAGCAGCGCGGATGCCCACCCGGACCTGTTGGGCCAGCACCAGGTGATGATGATTAAATAGCGTCAAGTTGGACCCAAACTGGGCGATATCAATAATTGGCTTGTTAGACTACAGCTTATCCAGAGCTAGGCCATAGTTGAAGCATTGCAGAGCGTACGTTGCCGAAACTCCAGAGTTTTGCTTTACATTGAATTAACGAGCGGAGCACAGTCTGGACTGGCTAGTGTCAGGGCGTGGACTTCTCTTTAGGCCTGCCTCGGATTGTTGTTTCTACTGTAACGGAGCACTTCTGGGTTCGGCATGCACGTGCAACGTAATATAACCATGGGCAAGCCAGGGGTGAACAGGGGCGGTGTCACTCTAAACGGGAAGAGGGGTCAGCTGGCCGGCAAGATTTCCATAACACGATTTACTTAGAGACAAGTATTCAAACTTCCTTGAATATCAGCTCACACTTCCCTCCGACTGGAACGAGAAGAAAATGATCCTTTGTTGCCATGGACTCCCCCGTGGTCGACGGAGCAGGCACACACTCGAACCGCCGTGCCAGATGTGCTGTGATCAGTTTCAACTCCATTATGGCCAGATTCTTCCCCAGGCATGCTCTCGTGCCTTTCGAAAACGGCATGAAGAGCTCCTTCATCTCATAAGAGATTTTCTTGGGGTCCACCCACCTCTGGGGCGCGAAGCATTCGGGATCTGGGAAAACTGCCGGATCACGGTGCGTCGTATAGCATTGCATAGACACAATTGTCTGGTGAGGATCAGCGCCAATCACTCATACCCGCGCTGTTCCTTACCTTTCCGGGAATAAAAAAGCCATTCAGCTCTTTTCCACCGACGGGTGTCTCTCTGGGGAGACTCGCAGGTGCCGCTGGATGCAGCCGGAGTGCTTCGTTGATCACTGCTTCAAGCACAGGAAGGTCCTGAATTTGTTGGAAGGTGGGTGAGCTGTCTGTGTGAGCCAGCAGTTCTTCCCGCAGTCGCTTCTGCCAAGTTTGGTTACGGGAAAGCTCCCAGAACAAGAATGTCAGAGTGGTGCTTGTGGTATCTCCATGCGATCAGCGACACTTTCCGCTGGACACATGTGCGCCGCGGCGGCCTACCTGTACCGGCAAATATGAGATTGCCGATCTCGAGTGATGTTTCCTTGTCACTCAGTTGGTTGTCCCCAGTCTCGGCTTTGGCTGAAAGAATCTTCGTCAAAAGATCTCGACGTCCTGAACTCCGTCCATATTGGTCAACATAACGGCGGAAAGCTTGTTCTCCATACTATGAAAGAGAGGTAAGTGGCACAGCCTCTGGTTTATTACCGTTGATGGAGAATATGGTACTCACATCTGCTAGTCTCTGCATTGCGCCCAGGAAGTATCGAACGGAAGGCAAAGGAATCCAGAGGATCAGTCGTGCGAGCCAGGGATTGTTCCATTGCAGATCGGCCAAGATAAAAAACATTTCGATGTCACTCAAAAATTGAGGCGTCACACCTGACTCGAGCCCGCCAAACGACTGGCCTAGAAACAGCTCTCCTGAAGGCAGGTCAGGCATGGTAGGGAAGAAATGGTGCTTCTCATACCGACGACATCAAAGGCTGTCAGCCTGAACCAGTTGAGCATATCTATGGGAGTACCTGCATTTCTCCGCAGTACATCCAGCAAATTCTCTATCTGCTTCTGAATGAGAGGCTCGCATTCCTGCAGATTTGACTGGGAAAAGGCGTGGCTGAGCAGTCTCCTTCGTTGACTGTGCTGAATCTTGTCTCTCATACTGAAAACCCCGTTCTGAAATCGACTCGATAGTCGTGTCAGCAATTTAATTTATCAGAATGAGGGACTGTGTCTCAGAGAGAATAACACAATTTGGAAATGAACTTACCGGCGGCATGGTCATTGACTCGTAGACGGGAGCTTTCATGAAGCTCGTCCCTTGGCCGTAGAGTTCTCTTACATTCGAGATGTCGGCCAGGGATATTTCGTTGGGTCCAATCAACACTGTCGCACCGTAGCGCTGATGCAACCGGTTGATGGTGGACGTGCGGTTGCCTGCCAGATCAACGAATCTCAGCCACAAAGGCGTCAATCGTGCCACAAAGGGGCCAGGTATCTTGCGCAAAGGCGAGAAGAACAAGGCGTACACCACCTGGGACGAGGTCAGCCTTTCAAGAGGTCGTTCTGAGGTAAGTGAACAATCACCTTCGATACAAGCCACCCTGCCGTCAGCACGACTCCGAGCGCCGTCAATTTATTCGAAGGTAAGCCCATTTCCTCTGGCTAGGTACAGCACTAGCTGCTGGTGAAGCTCCTCTGGAGCAAGACTGGGAGGTAGTCAAGACAAATATGATTTTCTTTCGACGCGAAAGGGCGAAAAAATGGCAATGCCAATAGCTAAAATTGAACTGCTAGCAATTATAGCAGTCGTATCCGATTCCCTTTCAACAAAGACACCCCATATTTACTCCACGTCTACTGGTGGTGCCGAGAAAACGTACAACCACCCCCGAAGTCTCAGGTCTCAGCTGGGGCAGATCCGAAGACCTGGTGAATCAAATGACTTGATGCCAAAGAAGGAATCGACCGTTTTGACCTCGGGCCGGACGAAGTAACCAACCTCAACTACCCTGTAGATTCTCGGAACAGCAGATGCCACCTTCCCCACTGCTGAATTAACAAGTCCCTCCCTGTGCAAGTGAAGTACAGTACCAGGCTTGACTTTTCCTGCCGAGTCGGCACAAGAAGATCTGAATGCTATCACTGGCCATTCAGCTTTCAACGACCAGAACAATGTTATCATAGTTCTACCTCTGTTGCTCAATTCTGGGAAAATCCTGGATGCCCCTTGAATTTTACCCCATCTCGCCAGATTCCTCTGATATTAAGGAGCTCGGTTATGTCGACTAAGGGATTCCCTTCAACAAGCAGCAAATCTGCCTTTAAGCCAGCGGCTATTCTTCCTCTGTCTGACCATCCGAAACGATCGGCGGTCACGCTTGTGGTGGCTCTCAACACCTCTATCGGTGACAACCCAGCCTTGTTCACCAGTAGATACATTTCGATGTGGAGGTTGGCTCCAAATACTAGACCTGGAGCTCCTGCTGCGGCGTCCGAGCCACTGAATTGAGAGAGTTAGCGCCCAATGTGGCGAATGAGACTGGGTCTTACCAGATAATGTCAACCCCCGCCGCCTTCAGTTGTCGCACGCTATCAATGGCGTATTCCCATTTCGCTCCTGGTGACTTCATATGCAAGCAGCCATGAATCAACTGTACATCTTCGGTCGAGACCCTGCTTTTGACCCGTTCGTCTTCCGAAAAGGATTTGAGAATCTCCTTGGACTCACAGGTCAGAGACCCTGCGGCCACCAATGTCGGATTGACCCAGGCATTATTACGCTTGTACAGGTCAATAACCTCCGGTGTAATCGGCTCATCGAAGAATGTGTGTGCGAGGCCGTCCACACCTGCCCTTAAAACTTCTAGCGTGTCCTTGAGCGACAAGGCATGAGCGACGACTTTAAGTCCTCGCTCGTGTGCCGCGCGGACGATTGC